ATTGACACCCTATCGTCAAAATTGAAAGAGCTAGAGGAGCAAGATCAAAAAAACTCAAAACCCAGCAGAAGACAAGAAATAACTAAGATCAGAGCTGAACTGAAGGAGATTGAGACACGAAAAACCCTCCAAAAAATCAATAAATCCAAGAGCTGGTTTTTTGAAAAGATCAACAAAATAGACAGACCACTAGCTAGATTGATTAAAAAGAAAAGAGAGAACAACCAAATAGATGCAATAAAAAATGATAAAGGGGAAATCACCACAGATTCCACAGAAATTCAAACCATCATCAGAGAGTATTACAAACAACTCTACGCACATAAGCTAGCAAACCTGGAAGAAATGGATAAATTCCTGGACTCCTGTGTCCTCCCAAGCCTAAACCAGCAGGAAGCTGAAACTATGAATAGACCAATAACAAGGGCAGAAGTCGAGGCAGCAATTAAGAGCCTACCACAAAAAAAAAAGCCCAGGTCCAGACGAGTTCACAGACGAATTCTACCAGACACACAAAGAGGAGCTGGTACCATTCCTTCTGAAACTATTCCAAATAATCCAAAAAGAAGGAATCCTTCCCAAATCATTCTATGAGACCAATATCATCCTGAGACCAAAACCCGGCAGAGACCCAACAAGAAAAGAAAACTTCAGGCCAATATCCATGATGGACATAGATGCAAAAATCTTCAATAAAATATTGGCAAGCCGATTGCAACAGCAAATCAAGAAACTTATTCATCATGATCAAGTAGGATTCATCCCGGGGATACAAGGCTGGTTCAACATACGCAAGTCTATAAACGTAATTCACCACATAAACAGAACCAAAAACAAAAACCACATGATTATCTCAATTGACACAGAGGAAGCCTTTGACAAAATTCAACAGCCCTTTATGCTAAAAACCCTCAATAAACTCGGTATTGATGGAACATATCTCAAAGTAATAAAAGCTATTTATGACAAACCAACAGCCAATATCATACTGAATGGGCAAAAACTGGAAGCATTCCCTTTGAAATCCGGCACTAGACAAGGATGCCCTCTTTCACCACTCCTATTCAATATAGTACTGGAAGTTCTAGCCAGAGCAATCAGGCAAGAAAAAGAAATAAAGGGTATTCAAATAGGAAAGGAGGAAGCCAAATTGTCTCTATTTGCAGACGACATGAGAGTATACCTAGAAGACCCCATCACCTCAGCCCAAAAACTCCTGAAACTGATAAGCAACTTCAGCAAAGTCTCAGGATATAAAATCAATGTGCAAAAATCACAAGCCTTCCTCTACACCAATAACAGACTTAAAGAAAGCCAAATCAAGAACGAACTGCCATTCACAATTGCTACAAAAAGAATAAAATACCTTGGAATACAACTCACAAGGAATGTAAGGGACCTCTTCAAGGAAAACTACAAACCACTGCTCAACGAAATCAGAGAGGACACAAACAGATGGAGAAACATTCCATGTTCATGGTTAGGAAGAATCAATATTGTAAAAATGGCTATACTGCCCAAAGTAATTTACAGAATCAACGCTATCCCCATCAAGCTACCATTGACTTTCTTCACAGAACTGGAGAAGACCACCATGAACTTCATATGGAACCAAAAGAGAGCCCACATAGCCAAGTCAATTCTAAGCAAAAAGAACACAGCGGGGGGCATCACACTACTGGATTTCAAACTATACTACAAGGCTACAGTAATCAAAACAGCATGGTACTGGTACCAAAACCGAGATATAGACCAATGGAACAGAACAGAGGCAACAGAGGCAACACAACATAGCTACAACCATACAATCTTTGATAAACCTGTCAAAAACAAGCAATGGGGAAAGGATTCACTGTTCAACAAATGGTGTTGGGAAAACTGGCTAGCCATGTGCAGAAAGCAGAAACTGGACCCCTTCCTGACACCTTACACTAAAATTAACTCCAGATGGATTAAAGACTTAAACATAAGACCTGGCACAATAAAAACCCTAGAAGGAAATCTAGGCAAAACTATCCAGGACATAGGAGTAGGCAAGGACTTCATGAACAAAACACCAAAAGCATTGGCAACAAAAGCCAAAATAGACACATGGGACCTAATCAAACTCCACAGCTTCTGCACGGCAAAAGAAACAGTCAATAGAGTGAATCGGCAACCAACAGAATGGGAAAAAATTTTTGCAGTTTACCCATCTGACAAAGGGCTGATATCCAGAATTTACAAAGAACTCAAACAGATTTACAGGAAAAAAACAAACAAGCCCATTCAAAAGTGGGCAAAGGATATGAACAGACACTTTACGAAAGAAGACATATATGAGGCCAACAATCATATGAAAAAATGCTCATCGTCACTGGTCATCAGAGAGATGCAAATCAAAACCACATTGAGATACCATCTCACGCCAGTTTGAATGGCGATCATTAAAAAATCTGGAGACAACAGATGCTGGAGAGGATGTGGAGAAAAAGGAACACTTTTACACTGTTGGTGGGAGTGTAAATTAGTTCAACCATTGTGGAAGACAGTGTGGCGATTCCTCAAGGCCTTAGAAATAGAAATTCCATTTGACCCAGCAATCCCATTACTGGGTATATATCCAAAAGACTATAAGTCGTTCTACTGTAAGGACACATGTACACGAATGTTCATTGCAGCACTCTTTACAATAGCAAAGACTTGGAATCAACCCAAATGCCCACTGATGATAGACTGGATTGGAAAAATGTGGCACATATACACCATGGAATATTATGCAGCAATCAGAAATGATGAATTTGTGTCGTTTGTAGGGACATGGATGAATCTGGAGAACATCATCCTCAGCAAACTGACACAAGAACAGAAAACGAAACACAGCATATTCTCACTCATAGGTGGGTGATGAAAAATGAGAACACATGGACACAGAGAGAAGAGTACTAAACACTGGGGTCTATTGGGGGGAAAAGGGGAGGGCCAGTGGGAGGGGGAGGTGGGGAGCGATAGCCTGGGGAGAAATGCCAAATGTGGGTGAAGGAAAGAAAGGAAGCAAAACACACTGCCATGTGTGTACCTATGCAACTGTCTTGCATGTTCTGCACATGTACTCCCAAACCTAAAATGCAATAAAAAATTAAAAAAAAATAAATAAATCACAAAAATTACTAGACTAATTGAGAAGAAAGCAGAAAAAGAAGAGAACAAAGAATTGCAGTGACCGATGGAAATCAAAAAGTATGATGACAGATAAACTTAACTGTATCAATAAGCACATTATAAATGAAACTGGCCAAAAATCTCATTTAAAAGGCAGATTATCAGATTGGATACAAATGCAAGAATCTACTACATGCTTCCTATATAAAAAAAAACTTTAGGCCGGGTGCAGTGGTTCACGCCTCTAATCCTACTATATTGGGAGGCTGAGACAGGAGGATCACAGGTCAGGAGTTCAAGACCAGCCTGGCCAACATGGCAAAACCCATCTCTACTAAAAATACAAAAAATTAGCTGGGCGTGGTGGCATGCAACTGTAACCCCCAGCTACTCGGGAGGCTGAGGCAGGAGAATCGCTTGAACCCAGGAGGCAGAGGTTGCAGTAAGCTGAGGTTGCACCACTGCACTCCAGCCTGGGCAACAGAGTGAGACTCTGTTTCAAAAAAAAAAAAAGAAAAAAAGAAAGAAAGAAAGAAAGAAAAGAAAAACACTTTAAATTTAAAAAGGCAAATTGTTCAGAAAGACGTTAAAAGATATACCAGGTTAAGAGTTGACAAAAGAAGCCTGAGAAGAAATGGCTATGTTAACGCCAAAGTAAATTTCACAGCAAAAATATTTACCAGCTATAAACAGTCATTTCCTCATGACTTTCAAAAGTTCAGTTAATCAAGAACATATAATCTTAAGTGACTGTGTACCTAATAACAGCTTCAAAATATATGCGGCAAAAATTGATAGAACAAATAGACAAATTCACAAATACAGTCTGACATTTGAATATTACTCAGTAAGTGATTAAAACAAGGGAGCAGCAAAGAAGCGGGTAGACTTGAACAACACCATGCTTCTCTAGTACCCAGGGAGCACGTTCCAAAACACACCCCATTCTAGGTTCTGCAATCAAGCTTAGCAAAAGAACTAAGTCAGAAAAATTTAACTCATACAAAGTATGTTCTCTGACCACAAAGCAATCAAATTAGAAATCAATAACAAAATATCTCAAGTGATCCTTCCATCTCAGCCTCCCAAGTAGCTGAGATTACAGCTGTGCACCAAAACACCCAGCTAATTTTTTACTTGATTTTGTAGAGATGTGATCTCACTATCTTGCCCAGGCTGGTCTGGAGCTTCCCGATGCAAGCAATCCTCCCACCTAGGCCTTCCAACTCACTTTTTCTTATGATTTGCTTAATGTTTATTTCTCTAGCTTCCTTTATTGTAAGAATACAGCATATTAATACATACACCACACCAAACACATCTTAATTGACTGTGTATGTTATCAATAAGCTGCTGGTCACCTTCTTGGGAAAGTCAAAAGTTATACACAGATTTCTGAATGCAGAGGGGATCAAGCATCCCTAAATCCCATGTTATTAAGGGTCAACTGTGATTGATATTCATTTGCTAAACACAAGCCATTTATTTTAAAAATTAAGTAGGAGTTCCAATTTCATAACAAGTCTAATTCATTATAATGTGACCATAAAGAAAACATACAACTTACTAACTTAAAAATATCTTTTTCTTCTTTATACAAATATAGCATATAGGATTTTAGGGACCATAATGGAATAATTTTTTTTCAGACAAGATTGTTTGAGATAATAAATGACCTGCAATTAACTTTTTACATAATTGTGAAATCTTACCTACCAAGAAAGAAATTAAGAGAAAAATATACAAGCAACTTACACATATGGGGCTTTTAAAAAACTGCTTTTCATGATCAAAACTTCCTTACTCTTACTTTTTTATCTATAGGACCACCAAAAATAATTCACTATCAGAAGTCTTACCTGATTGCTGTTTTTCCTTGCATTCAGAAATTAGTTGCTGAATGCTATGGATAAAAATGTAATAAATGAAATTACTATTTTAAAGCAAATGAAAAATACCAAATATATTAAATTTTTAGAGTATTTCAAACAATATCAGAGTTAATATCAGAACTTTATCCTATATACTAATTTGCAAGTTCTACCAACTTTTCTTTAAGCTTTTAAGGAAGAAAACAGATGAAGTACTCCTAAATTGAAGGGAGTATAGCTCAGTATAAATTAACTCACATTCGCTTGACATAATGGAAAGTGTCCTAGCCCTATTACCAGCAGCTACTTGTTCTCTGACAAGTCGCTTCTCTCAGGCTCAATGTATTCTTCTAGAAAGCAAGGATTTTACTGGCTTATTTCACTAGGTTGTTAAAGATTTAATGAAATAATGTTTTGAAAATGCTCAAACAGTGAAGCAATAAAATAATTTGTTCTTGAACTTTATTGCCAAAACTATCTCCCAATGTGTATTTTTTCAGAGGTTCTAAAATTCCCATTGCAGTTTTCTGAAACTGTTATTAAGTCCTAGTTTTGCTTATCAGTTGTTCCATTCTTTGTGGCTTATAATTCACGGCATCACAACTATTTCATAGTTTGTAACTAAATTTTCTTATAAATATATTATTTCAGCAAACTAGATAACTTCCCTGTCCACTATGACTGAACTCATCAATCACACTAAGGGCAGAAAGCTAACATGTCAAGACCTAGCTTGAACCGCTGTTCCAGACTCAAACTCTGAATTGGCAGATCTTTTAGAATGATGCTCAATCCCCATGTTAACCTCCAGCTGACACGGAAAACAAAATTCTACTTTTATTTTTTCAGTTCCATGAAAGAGATGTAAGTTGACATTCTCTCATTTCTGAGATACATACTAACAATATATTTGCACACACATCCCACATGTTACTCAGCTCAATTCTCATTCCATAGATCACCCTACTGCATATTTTGTAGTGAAAATCACAATTTTAATATTAGGTTACACCCAATTTGCTTTGACTCACACTGTTTCTTTGGACCTAGTCAGCAAATAGTCAAATGAACTTCCAGTGATGGTGCAAAATATGGACCACTTCAGAGATCTGTGCATCATCCTTATGCAGGGCCATGCTAATTTTCTCTGCATTTTGTTTCAATTTGAGTATATGTTTGCTGCTGAAGCAAGTACAAAGCTCTCCTTTTCTACATGGATACTCGTGAGTCATGAATGAGGCTTAGCTCTGTTAAATCCAACTAACATACTTGAGACTCCGAATTCTGCTAATGGCTTCCTGCCACAACTCTTGGGAAGGATAATATGGGACCTTCCATGATCTAAGAAAAGGTACTATACTGGATATACAGGGCCCTCAGTGTACAGGTCTGGTAGCAATGAAAAAAGGAAACTCATCTCTTTCTGCAACATTATTTGAACTGAACCCGAGGGCCTAAAGGATAACTTAACATAAAGGTCTTGGCTAAGTCTAAGCTAAGATGTTGGCTCCACGTAGGTTCTGAGTGAGGGGTGAAGGGTCAGTTGGCTCACTATGTGTGTGGATAATGCTAGGAGGCTCAGCTGCCAGAGCAGGATGCTGGGAACAATGCCTGAGCATATAAACATATGTATGTGAAGCAAAAAAAGTTTAGCTTTGAAATCTATGTATAGATCACCATGAAGACTTGAGGGCATCCTGGTGGCAAAGGTCAACCATTACTGGACTGCAGGACCAGTTTCGGTGCAATGACACAGCAACAGAAACAATAGCAGAAACAACAGGATGATTACAGTGACCTTTTTCTTCCCTCCTTCTGACTTGAAAAAGAGGATTGTCTTCTGAAACTTAAAGAACCCCATAGGTTCTGAAAAAATTCAAGGAAGAGGGTAGAGGAGACAGTTCCCAGAAGACAGTATAAAATTTTCTGCTACACTGGACATTTCAAGACCCAAATACCTAATCAGAAAACCCTAAGCTGTGACACTATTTTTTATCTCATGCACAGGGGTTACACTTGGAATGAAATGGACAATGCTGGGATCCCTAAGGATAAAGGTCTTAAAAGTCCTGAGATAAAGAAGCCTGTACCCTTTGCTACTTTTAACTAGTTTGGCCTTTTGCTGGATTTCAGACTAATGACGTGGACTAATTCATTGCCACTCCAAAACTACCTGAACCAAACTATAAAATCTCACCTGATGTATACAATACAATCATTATAATTATTTTAAACCTCAATTTGGTGTTAACTAGCCTTTTAATGTAAACACTTACCCAGTAAACCGATTTAAAACTGCATAGTCTTCTGCAGTCCTCCCAAGTGTATCTTGAGAAAAGATGTCAATTTGTTGCTGCAGAAGAAGGCTAACTATGTTCGCTGATCCACACTGCACGGCGAGAATGAGCGCTGTTCTAAAATGACAGAGCGATAACTTCTCCCTTAGGAACTGTAAAAAGCTATTTAAAAAGCTTATTCAATATACTTTACCAACTTAATAGCTTGCCCATCCGTGGAGAATTAAACATTTACTTGTACTAACAGACACCAGCATCTTGGGTGCTCAAGTGTTCATCTTTGTAAATTACCACCAAGGCTAAAAGGAAGGGACAAAGAGGAAGTCTCTTGTCCCAGTGGGGTATGTCATAGTAGAAGTTACTAACTTTCAGTCCCCTGATGAGCAAGAAACTATGCTGAGGTCACTTATCTAAAGTAGGCAAAGATTTAAGTGACGATTTCACCACCGCTTCCCTAGACCATAGGCTGTAATTCAAAATCAGCCAGGGGTCAGATAAGTGAGAACTATCTGCAGGCTGAAAAACAATAATATCAATAACAATGGTAATATTAGTAGTCACAGTGGTTTCAGTTACTGATACTGATAAGCATGTGCTAGGCACTGAATTAAATGCTACACACACCATCTTTCTTACATACACAACCCTGGAAGGATATATTCGTATCCTCTTTTTAATACAGAAAAACATATTTGGTGATGAGTAATGTTCCCAAGATCACACACCTAGCAAATGGGAAAGCTAGAAATTTAAACTCAGTCTTGTGTGAATCTGAAGCTTAACTCTTTTCTCTTTATCATCCACCTATGAGTTGCCTTCGTGAAAGAAAAAGTTTATCCACCGAAAACTGTATTTTCTCCCTCTGCCCATGCCAATTTAAAAAACATCAAAATACATTAGAAGTGAAAAAGGAAACCCACATATCTGGTAATGGCAATTCACAGTCATGTAGAGATAATCTAACATTAATATTCTTCAAAGAAATAAAGCAAAAAGTTATCCAAAAGACAAAATCATTTTTAACTGTATTCAAAAACAAAATCATTTTAACTGTAAAATCTAACATTAATATTCTTCAAAGAAATAAAGCAAAAAGTTATCCAAAAGACAAAATCATTTTTAACTGTATTCATCAAAAAAAAAATCATGTAAGAAGGAGAAATTTTACAATAAAAGGGTTAAGAAATTCAGTATCGAGTCATAAAGTAAAAATTACAAAGTCCACACTCCATAAACTAATAAACTAATAGGAGACCTCTGTAGCTAATACAAGATCATATGACCCAAAACATCCAACTACAAATAACAAACACCAGTCAGTGTAAGAAGAGAAGATGAATCCTTCTATACACTGTTCATGTCGCCCAGTCCAAATAATTTTCCACCAGATGATTTGTGTTTATATTTTTTACTATATCCCAATAATTTTATTAATCTCTTTATTAATTTCATATTTCTGACCTGAGTGACCGTTTTCACTCCAGAACCACACTGAGGTTTAAAAAAAGAACATACCTTTGACACTTATCAACTGCAAGTAAATTTGCTCCTCTCTCCAGTAAAAATTCTACCATTTGCTGTCTTTTTCCGCTTATGGCAAATAGAAGTGGTGTGAGGTCATTCTGTAATACACCAACAATGATTTACAATTCACAAAATTCTTATTTCTCAATGGACTGGAAACCTTACATAAGATCCTATAGACTTAAATGTATAAGAAAGTAAATTCAAAATAGCCTCTTCCTTCTCACTCTGTGTTTTCCCATGCGCTGCTCCTTCCCTTAGAGGCCACCTTCCTCTGCCTCACCACATCAACTCTAGTCATCTCCAAAACTCCCTTCAAATATTGCTAGTTCCAAAAATCTTTGCTTCTATCACAGCATTTAGCATGGAATATTGTAATGGTGGTATTGCTTCCAATGTAAACCAAGAGCTTCTTGGAGGGCAGGCTCTTTATCGCTATATATGTCTCTGTATTTAGCTGCATATTTCCAATCCCTGAGACATACCAGTAAATGCTTCAAGTATTTTTACTAAATGATCTAACGTATTTGCCTTTAGATCAGTGTTTCTTAAACTACATTCCAAAGAATATTTACTTTACCAGAAGTTATAGACTGTATATCTTCCCAACAGGAAGATTCCATGATCATCTACATTTGGGAAATATTATTAAACAGCACATTATATATCCAGTATTCAAGAAATCTCTTGAATTTTGCCTAATTCCTATTTGGCAATACTTTCTTTGTGGCAAACAGTAACATTTGAGGATCTAGAGTTTCGGGAATACCGTGGTGAGAGCTTTCCAGTAAAGGCGGGTGTTTCCTCCAGGTTACACAAACTTGCTTAATTCTCTTCTGTCAGTGGTGTCAGGATCCCAGATGCCCAATGTCAGGGCCGAGTGTCAGGCCCTTCTACTACAAATGGGTCACTAAGAAAATGGTCTGTGAATTACAGAAATCAGCTTCAAATGAACTTCCATTGCTTATTACTTAAAAGGCTCAGGGGTTTTCTCCTACTACAAGAGGAGAGATTTTTATCTTAGATGTTAGAAAGCACAGTATAAAATTCTCTTCTTAATTATAATACTAAGACCCTAATGCACATCTACTGTTAAAATTCTTTGTTAATTTTGTTTCCATTTTTATTGCCTCTTAAAACTATCTTTCATTTTAGGCAAAATGTAAATCAGAAATACAAATACAATGGCTTATCAATAAAACCATCTAATACCGATCTATCTGGATTGTTTCTATAATAATGAAAGCCACTAAGTCACCTGCATTTCTAAGGGACAATGCTGAGGAGAAAAATATAATTTTTTTTTGCAGTGTGAATAGCCCAGCCACCTACAGTCAGGAATAACCCAAACAGGCTTACAGGCATGCTAATGGGAAGGCGACTCTTCGTGGTATCTATAAGGCAAAAGAGTTTTTAAAAAACAACTTCCAAACCCTAAAGTTCAACCCCATTACTAAGGGATAGCTATAAAATTTAGACTATATGTTATAAGCAAATATAAACTGTTTTGAAAAACTTCAAATCTTTATCAAAATATGCCATGACAGGAGCTGTAAACTCAAATCTTACCCAGGCAAAGGAAGGGACCTGAGTGAAGTACCTAGGTGGGCGCAGCAGCAAACCAGAGAACATATACCTCATACGAAGGGGCAACCTAGTCACAGCACACCGAACAGTGACATGGGCTCAAGGGACAACAGGCTTGATTCTTAAAGAGAAGCCTGAAATCCAGATCTGTGCATGAGTCTCCTAAATTTTACACATTGACACAATTTGTGGAGGCAAATTAAACATATCTGTGGGCCACATTTTGACTACAGCCCTTGTGTTTTTATACTTGTTATAGATGTGTTTCAAAATGGTTGTGTGTAAAGCATTTACATGTAAAATATTTCCTTTAATTTCAGATGTTTTATCAAAACAAATCAGGCCCCAAAATGTAATAAAAATTGCTATTAAAACTCACAGTTGCTCACACCTGCAAGTCCAGCACCCTGGGAGGCCAAGGCAAGAGGATCTTGTGAGCCAGGAGTCTGAGACCAGCCTGAGCAACACAGTGAGACCGTGTTTCTTCAAAATAAAAAAAAAAAATGCTCACAGGCTCAAAACACTCACACTTCAAGAATTTTTCCAATATTTATTCAATTAAAATCTACTTGTATTTATTTTTCCCAGCTTGTTAACCAAATGGATAATTAGTCCACATGACTGCCGAAACTAAATTGTTAAAAGAATCAATATTTGTACTCTTACTAATTTCAGGGTTTTCAGTGCTTAAAACTGCCGTCTTGATTATTTCAAACTCTGTGAACTTAACAGAGATACAGAGATAGTTCATAACAGAGATTCAATTAAAAAAAAGGCTAAGTGTTTGCCAGCACTAATCGAGAAAACTCTGCTTGTAATAAAGATTAAGCTGCTTGTAATAAACAATAATCACCTGGATGATAACAAAGACAGAAAATCCTAAAGCAGTCAGCCTCTGCTTACTGAAGGGCTATGAGGTTGGGAAGGAAAAGGTATTCTGGAAGCTGAGAGATATTACCAATAACATTCCTTTTAACTTCCCAACCCAGAGATAAAGAAAGATAAAAGTCAGGATAATAGTATTGAAAAGAGACAGATTTAAAGGAAGTAGCACCTATCAAACTCCAACTCCTCTAGAGATTTCTTACGTTTCTGAGAATGGGCATTTACATATTACACCTACCTATTCACTGGCTCTTAACCAGGACTGTATCTGAAGTTTTAGGAATTTACTGCTGTTGTTAGAGACAGGGTCTCACTATGTTGCCCAGGCTAGACTCAAACTCTGGGGCTCAAGCAATCCTCCCAATTCAGTCTCCCAACTAGCAGGGACTTCAGCCAAGTACCACTATGCCTGGCTTCAAGGAAATATTTTAAAACATAAACTTGTTCAGGCTTTATTAGACTTATTATATCAAAAGTATTCAGGGAAGAGCTTAGACTTGTAGATTTGTTTTAATTTCCTCAGGTTACTGTGATGCACAACTCTAGCTGAGAACTAGAACAACAATTACTTCAGTCTCATCTCTCACCCACATGACCAGTTCCCTTTAACATTTGAGGATTTTGTCAAAAAGAGGTAAGAATAAGAGACAGTCATTTGCTAAAAACTCCATTTAGTTTTCCTGGGTAGGAGTAGCACAGGGACTGGTAAACTCAAAATCCAACTTGATTTTGCTATTTCTAAACTCCGCATCGCCCACCTTCCCGTCAGGGCATTCTAGATTTGAGGGCTGAGCGCAGACGCTTATCTAAGTGACTGTTTCCTACTCATCACCACCTAGTCGCAGCTAATCTTTTTTCCTCAGAGTCCTCCTAAATTGGATTCCTAGGCAAGTGCACAACTCACTCTCTTCCAAACTGAAAACGATGATCCGATTATCCCCAAAACTGAAGAAAACCTTGTCTAAACATATAAACTAGAAAAAAGAAATAGTAATAACAACAACAAAACACATAAAAAAAAGGTCGCCTTGGTATTTTCCCTCAATTACCTAACCTCCAAGCTGGCCTCCATATTTCTGGCTGCTTTTTTTGCCCTTTCCATTTTGCCCTCCTAAGCTTTGCTACTGAGAGTTAACCTGCTTGAATGTGTGTTATTTAAGAACCTGTTTGTTCTTGGAGTTTTAAGATGAAGTCTATTTCCAGGGCAAATTTTGCTTTCTTGTGTTGTTTTTCCTTAGAAAAAAAAAATTGGGAAGAAAAAACAATTTTTAAGTATTAACTTTGACAAATTCAGTGTTTTCAAAAATATTTACCATATGTGCATAAAAGAAAGCTGTGCCATCTAATGCTGCTTTAAAAGTGTCAAGATTTGAAATATTAGATAATTATTTCAAAATATTCTCATTCAGGGGTTCTTGAGCTTCCAAATATGGAAACTGACAGTTACATATGTCAGTGTTAAATGCATTTCAAATAGTTTGAAAATAAAGTTGGTTGGTCAATACCTCATTTTTTGCCTCCTTGTTTGTACTGTATGAAAGCAGTTTTTCTGCTAGTGATTCGTCTTCATTATGCACAGCATAGTGCAGAGCGGTGTTGCCGTAGATATCGGGAAGGTCTGGATCAGCACCCCCGTCCAGCAAAATAGTTGCACATTCCTCTTTTCTGCATTGTACGGCCTGTCATTATTAGACCAAGAAATAGATTACAAATGCTAGGAATTCAAAATAGAGGTTTTGCTAATGAGTTACATTTAAATGAGATGAATTCATTTTTGTTCTGTTGAGAAATGTGAAGTTTATGAATACTGATGAATGCTAAGTGTATGACAGAATATATTGTTTGCTAGGAAGAACAATGGCAAGGAAAACCTAGCAGCTCCACCCCCCCACCACAGTAGAAAACCACTTGGTGCATTCCAAAGTGGCAGGACAATATGTAAATATCAAACACCTTTTAAAATAATTCTTTAAGCTATCTGACCCTGCCCCAGTGGCTCCCTCATGAAGAATACATTTTAGGTTGTTTGATCAGTGTAAGTGGGCACCAGCTGCCTACTTGGTGTTTTGTGTTATGAGAAAATACTGAACACCTGTTTGTTAATAATGATCACCTGTTCAGAGAGAACTGCATGGGTCAGAGTCTACCTGGGGCTTTCAGCCTGGAATGCTGTCAGCCCCTGAGCCTCTCAGTTTGGAAGGCTGCTGGCCCCGCTGCTTGACCCACTTTGCTGTTCTATCTGGGTGTCTGCCTCTCATTTCCTTCAGTGCTGCCTGGGTGGGAGTCTCTACGGCCGGGCTGGTTCTCAGTAATTCTACGTAATCAGATCAATCTCATGCTGAAATACTTGGTTACTATATACCTTTATCAGAGCTGTCCTCTTATAGCTGTCAAAACAATTAAGTTGACATAGTCTGCCCACCAGGAGATTTACCACTGCTGGATGTCCATGATCGCACGCCAAGTGCAGAGCAGTCCTATGACAGTAAGAAGACTTTAGGAAATTGTACTGTATTATCCAAAAACACACAATGATTCACATATATCCATAGCACTGGATAGAATGTTAGTCCTCTGTCTTTAAAACAAGTATTTAATTTTCCTGAGAAGAAAGCACAGTATTTACCAGCTCTTATTATTCACTACATAAATGAAATGTAGCTTATTTGAATAAAAAATGCTTCGCCTCTGCTCACGCCTGTAATCCCAGCAGTTTGGGAGGCCGAGGCGGGTGGATCACTAAGTCAAGAGATCAAGACCATTCTGGTCAACATGGTCAAACCCCATTTCTACTAAAAATACAAAAAATTAGCTGGGCATGGTGGTGCGTGCCTGTAACCCCAGCTACTCGGGAGGCTGAGACAGGAGAATTGCCTGAACCCAGGAGGCGGAGGTTGCGGTGAGCCGAGATCGTGCCATTGCACTCCAGCCTGGGTAACAAGAGCAAAACTCCGTCTCAAAAAAAAAAGAAAAAGAAAATGCTTCGCCTCTGGATTCAGTTCACATCGTAGTGAAATCCTACTTTAAGATCTGTCACTTCCTGTTTCACCATGTTGACCAGGATGGTCTCGATCTCTTGACCTCGTGATCTGCCCGCCTCGGCCTCCCAAAGTGCTGGGATTACAGGCGTGAGCCACCGCGCCCGGCCTGCAACACTTTTGCAATAGAAATAACCATTTATATTTGCTCCTGGCTCACGGAGAGGCCTGGGCCCCCGACCCTTCCGAGGTTTCTCCATCCGGGGTACCGTGGAACCTGTGAGCACCAGAAAGCCCGGGTCCCCGACAGGACGGCGCGCCCGCCTCCTTCGCCTGGCCATTACCTATTCTCACTGTCCCTCTTGTCTACGCCAGGGCCTCCGGGCACCAGTACTCGCTCCAGCCCCGGGACGTCGCCCAGCCAGGCAGCTCTGTGGAGCTCCCCGAGATCTTCCAGGTGGACTTGATAGTGAGGCGGGGGGAGGATGAAGTAGCAAATCGGGTTGAAGGCGTCCGCTGCACCCTCGCTTCCGCTGTCCGAGCTGTCGGGCGGGCTCCAAACTCTGTATCTCCTCCTCATGGCGGAGACTGCCGCCTTCGGAGACCCCCTCAGCCCCTCCCCACCCCTCCCTGCTTTTCTCCACCTCAGGAGGCCAACAGTAGCGAATTACTGCCGTGACCACAACCTCCCACGAGGAAAGCCCGAGGTTTCCAATCAGTGAAAGGAGCACCTCCGAGCCAAGTAAAAAACGTCAAGCCAAGCGACCACCGCCAAGCCAAGCGATCGCCTCGAAGCCTCACGGACAACGAACGCCAAGCCACGCGGGTAACGGCCAGGCCCTCGCGTGTGACGTCATCGCACTTGCTCCTGCTCCTGTGACGTCACTGCACCTGCGCACACCTTACTGGTGCCCCACACATTCCGGCCTGCTTCCTGCTTTCCCCGACACCCGGAGAAAACTCCTTGGCCTACAGGTGGCGCTGCAGCTCCGGCGCCGGCCTGGGCTGGGGGGTCCTTCCGGGTGGCGCCGTCCACCCTGCCTGTCATCAGGGAGTGCCGCCTCACAGCGCCGCCGAGCACCTGCTCCTCGGCTTGCTCAGGTCAGGCGTGCGGACCGGTTCCCGCCCCTGTGCCGCCATCGCTTGGCCGCCCCGGGCTAGCCACCGCAGCGGAGTTGCCCCAGAGTCATCGCTGCCAGGACACAAGCCGAGTCAGGCGGCTGGGTCAAAGCGAGCTGCCCGCCCCGCGGGAAGGGCCTACCCGACGCCACTGCCCACCCAGCTCCTACTCGGCTGGTGCCTAAGCCAGGGGACCAGTTCTGGGCATTCCGCTGCCTGGGGATGGGGCCAAGCAGCGGCTCCCCGCTCTGAGCCGCAGCCACCGTGCGCATCTGCCCAGGGGCAGTGCGGCTGGCTACCTGGTTGGGTCGGGGAATGCCAGGTGCCGCTGGGGTGCTCGCCTCTAGTCCATCCTGTCCCTGCAGCCCGTGAGCACTAGTGCCGGTCGGGCGCGGCGGCTCACACCTGTAATCCCAGCACTTTGGGAGGTTGAGGCGGGTGGATCACGAGGCGAAACCCTGTCTCAACTAAAAATACCAGAAAAATTAACTGGGCGTGGTGGCAGGTGCCTGTAATCCCAGCTACTCAGAAAGCTGAGGCAGGAGAATGGCTTGAACCAGGGAGGTAGAGGTTGCAGTGAGCTGAGATCATGCCATTGCACTCCAGACTGGGCGACAGTGAGACTCCATCTCATAAAATAATAAAACATTAAAATCTGTCCAAAAACGTGTGCCTTACTGGTGTCCCACATATTCCGGCCTGCTTCCTGGGTGATCTGGCCCCATGTGGAATGCTAATCCCGAGTTCGTCCCCCTCAGCACAGCCTCAGCTCATCTTCTGGGGAGAACTTGGCTACCAGGAACTTTCATCCACATATAGTTGATGCCCATCCAGTTCTCCTGCCAACCTCCTGAGCCAGGACAGGAGGCCCATGGGAAGTCTGCTTCGGCCTCTAGGCAGCACCACCCTGGGCTCCGGCTTGATCTGAACGGCCTCCAGAGGCTCAGCTGACCATGCTGTCTCATCCCTGGGTACCAGTGAAAGGGCTCATGGCTTGGCTTGCCCAAAGAGGCTTCCACCGTATATTTAAAGGCCAAAAGGGGATCCCCTCCCCATCCAGGCAGCAGAAGTGCCTCCCCACTCCCCACATGCCAGTTTTCACACTGGGCTTAACTACACAGGAAGCAGGCTCTGCCGGCCCACACTCACCCTCGACCATGCAGACACCTGCCCCAGTCTCTCACAGGGTCCTCACCCTCATCAGCCCAACCCCTGCTGTAACAGAAGGGAGCTCTGCCAGGCGCAGGCTCCACACTCAGACAACAAACTACAGACCCGAGGACCTGCCCCACATGGGTGCCACGGGGAAAGGGCCTTGGCGGCTGGAGGAGGAACAGAGTGGCAGAGCCTGGAGTCTGAAGTCCCGGCTTCCAGCACCGTCAACACAAAGCCTCAGCCACCCTTCCCAGCAAGCCCAGGGATCTGACCCACAGAGCAAGAGCACTTCCCTGGAGGGCCTCCCACTCTCTAACCTCTAGCTCTAACGGACCCCTGTCAGACAGACAGTCACAGCTGTGCTCTGCAGCCCCCCGAGGAGCGGGTGAGAGGACTTACTGGCCACTCAGAGCAGTGTGGAAGAGTCACATCGCAGCTGGAGCAGCAGCAGCCACGTGGGAGCCGCGTGAGAGCCGAGGCAAATGCTGCACAGGGGCTTTGGCCCATTCAGCTTTCCTCAGCCAGGAAGTCAGAAGACGGGGACAGCAAGGACCCACAGCAGACAGGCACTCTCAAACAGACATACTCCAGCACACAGCTGTGTGTGACTTCCTCAGTTGTGGGCTGGACCCACAGCAGGAGCGTAGGGGGCACTGGCAGGCCTGCTCTATCACCCACGCTGTGACCCACACTTTCATGGGACGAGGAGCTGAGGTTTGGCCCAGGGCCACAATTCTGGGTGTCGTCAGCAGATGCGGGAGGTGTGGGGGCAACATGAATCCAGCCTGCCATCTGTGTTATCCAGCTGAGTCTGTCTCATGGCCTGCCTCAGAACCTGCCCCCAGACAGCTCAGCCTATTGTCTTCGGGAGTGGCTGCCTCAGCATTGAGATGGGGTCCCCCACCCATAGGAAGTGCCCCCCACCCAGCCAAAACTGGGCTCCAATAGGAGCCCATGCTCAAGGCCCTGGGAATTTGGAGGGCCAGGTGAGTGGAGAGACCCAGGGCACTGAGTGACATCACTGCGATTCCAACTTCGCTGCAATCATTCTCTTTAAAACCAGGACCGCAGCTTGATGATGAAACTGATTTAACAGGGCTCTGAGTCACCAGGATAACAGAAGTAAAATTCTATAAATCTTCTAGCATTGAATCTAGCATACCTCTGATCCACCCCGGCATTCCAGAGAACACGCCGTTGACAGTTTGCAGCATATTTAAGGGCTGACTTCAGGATCTGTCAGATTCTGTACCGTGCGGCCAGTCTTTGATGTGGAAGGAAATCTCCTGCTCCCCAGGCTGCTGGGCATGCAGGGCGGCGCTGTGAAACATGACTCGCTGCAGGGATGGCGCTGTTCTCCACAGACATGGTCCAGGATGGTGCCCACGAGCCACGTATGGTACGAAACCCTTCAAATGTCACCAGAACAACTGACAGCTGAATTTTAAGTTTTATTTAATTTAAGTTAAATTATAAAGACAGAGCATTCAAGTGTTTCTCACATGGATGTCTGCAGCCCCAGGGAGGGAACTCTGAAATGTTAGTGTGTAACACAGAATGGACAGTGGTGCTGACTTCATTGCTAGATAGAAATTCGGGTTATTTTGTGTCTCACTGAAAGCTTGTGGGCTAAGGTTTCGTGACGATCCGACAGCACTCCAAACACTTTTGCCTTGTCTGCTTTAGTCTGACAAAGTGCCCATGGCTACTACATCGATTATTTAAGATCACGGTTGACCATTTTTTATCCTGTATGAAACAGAAGTTAAACAGCTGAAAAAGCAAAAATCCGGGTCTGATGGTTTTCTGCCAGGTCATGATGAACCCATCCTAATTCTGTTTAACCTCGTCCCAGGCGGGATCGAAGCCCGTGGCCCAGGCCTATCTCCCCGCGCCACTCAGAGCTCTGTGACTCTCCTCCCCTCAAAGCATTCTTCCTTCCAAGGACACTTGGGAGAGCCACAGGGGCCTCCTCTCCCAGCCACAGAGCAGGTCCCTGGTAGGGCAGGGCTAGAACCCAGACCTCAGCTCCCTCAAGATTTCCAAGAGAAGACTGGAGTGTGAATTTCACGGTGCCTTGGGAAGCCAGGCAAAGCTGATGGCCGAATGCTGGAGAGGGAGCAGGGCCATTTCTGTACCTCTGCAGACTTCTAGAATGCTGACTCGCCCTGCATCCATCCCTGTATTTATCTAAGCGTCAGTGCCTCTGGTCATGAGACACAGAGGGGTCCGTAACGCCCGCCTGACGGTATCTGCTTTTCCCACAAACCCAAACTACATTGCCAAGGTCAGGGGCTGGGTTGGCTGAGTAACACACCTAGCACAAGGCTGGGGGTTTGCCAAATATACACATCACCGAAAGAGGTGAATGTCGTTTCCCAACTCGCTGGACACAAATGCTCCCGGACCAACCTGAGGAACATTCTACAACAAAAACTGGACTGTACTCTTCCAAACATCAATGTCATGAAAGACAAAGGAAGGCTGAGGACCTACTCCAAATCAGAAGAGGTTGCAGGGAACTCGCAGCAGGGCCTGGTCCTGGATGGGATCCTGGACCAGAACAATGGATTTCAAACTCGTTATAGGGACAGCTGGCAGATTTGAAACATGAGCTACAAACTCACAACTTTTGGAGTGATGGGAGAATACTACACATTTCCTTTTAAAATTTTATTTTAGTTGTATTTTTATCACAGGAGAAGGATTTAAGCTTATTTCCTGAATGTGAGAGCTGTACTATGGATACTGAGAGGACGCCCCTGCTCTTAGGAAATGTCCACTAACACCTTATGGGTAAACGTGGAATGACGTATGCAAATCACCCTTCCTGGTTGTTCATGTTCAGAGAAGACTGGAAGGGAAAGGGACGAGGGAGGAGAGGAGGGAACAAATGAAAGAAAAAAATGTGGCAAAATGTTTTTTGTTGTACTCTTGAAACTCCTGTAATTTTGAAATTATTTCAAAGTAAAGGTTTTTTGTTTGTTTTGAGACACAGTCTCACTCTGTCACCCAGGCTGGAGTGCAATGGCACCATCTCGGCTCAATGAAACCTCCACCACCTGGGTTCAAGTGACTCTCCTGCCTCAGCCTCCTGAGTAGCTGGAACTACAGGCACCTGCCACCATGCCTGTACTAATAATTTTGTATTTTTAGTAGAGACGGGGTTTCACCATGTTGGTCAGGCTGGTCTCGAACTGCTGCAGGTGATCTACTCACGTTGACCTCCCAAAGTGCTGGGATTACAGGCATTAGCCACCATGCCTGGCCTAAAGTTTTGTTGTTGTTTTTTTTTAATTAAAATTTTAATTTAATTAAAAAAAAAACTTTTCTTCTTCCCCTTGACACCAAAAAGAATGAAGCGTTTAAAACATGGCCAGGTCCAGTTGTGTGCACGTACAGTCACAGTTACTTGAGAGGCTCAAGCCACTTGGAAAAGCTGGATCCCAGGAGTTTGAGTCTAATAGACAACATAGTGGGACTCTGTCTCTTAAAAAAAAAGTTGCAAAATGTTCAGCGATGGAGGAGATGGGCCTGGTGCGAGGTGAAAGGGCGACCTGCAGGCGGGCGTGGTGGCTCGTGCCTGTGATCCCAGCACTTTGGGAGGCTGAGGTGGGAGGATTGCTTGAGCTCAGGAGTTTGAGACCAGCCTGGGCAACATGGTGAAACCCCGTCTCTACTAAAAATTAGCTGGGTGTGGTGGTGAGCGCCTATAGTCCCAGTGTCAGAAGGCTGAGGCAGGAGAATCACTTGAACCTGGGAGGCGGAGGTTCCAGTAAGCCAAGATTGTGCCATCACATTCCAGCCTGGATGACTGAGCAAGACTTATCTCCAAAAAAAAAAAGGAAAGGGCTGCCTGCTGTCTTCACCGAGGACATCCCATCGTGCCAGTGGACAGAGGCTGGCCACAGCCTTCAGAGGCGGAAGATGGCTCTATTCCCCCACTTGCCTTCTGAGTCTTAGGATGCCAGAAAGACCGACTCAGGAGAGTAAGGACATTGCTGACAAGAGACCCTAGGGCTGCAGAGCAGTGGTGATCAAGGCCTCTGACTGAGTGCTCGCTCCGTAAGAGTGCCCGCTCAGTGCCAAGGCCTCACCTGCTAGTCCTCGCCTGAGCCTCTCAGCCACCTACAAGTTCAACCCTACTTCACAGATGAGGGGGATGCCGTCTCCCAGAGAGGCCACACAGCCAGTAAGGAGCACAGCTGAAACCCAAAAACAGGTGTTTCCTCCAGAATCAGGACTCTGAACCATCACAAACTCTCCTGCCTTCAGGTCTATTGGTGTGTAAACTTTTTTCAGGTCTATTGGTGTGTTTTGTTTTGAGATGGAGTCCTGCCCTGTCGTCCAGGCTGGATTGCAATAGTGCGATCTTGGCTCAATGCAAACTCCATCTCCCGGGTTCAAGCAATTCTCCTGCCTCAGCCTCCCAAGTAGCTGGGACTACACGCACGCACCACCATATCCAGCTAATTTTTGTATTGGTAGAGTTGGGGTTTCACCATGTTGGCCAGGCTGGTCTTGAACTCCTGACCTCAGGTGATTCGCCCATCTTGGCCTCCCAAAGTGCTGGAATTATAAGCGTGAGCCACCACATTTGGCCAGGTGGTGTATAAACTTTAAAAAAGCAGAGACTTCATTCCACAAATACAGGCTGGGATCCCCACATTATTAGGTGCTGCGGACTGAACTGTAAACACCCTCCAAATTCATCTGTTGAAGCCCTAACCCTCAGTGTGGCTGTTCTTGGAGATACGGCTTTTAGGAAGTCATTAGGGGCTGGGTGTTGTGGCTCATGCCTGTAATCCAAGCACTTTGGAGGCCAAGGCGGGCAGATCACCTGAGGTTGGGAGTTCAAGACCAGCCTGACAACTCAGTGAAACCTTGTCTTTAAAAACAAAAAGTAAGTCATTAGGTTGAGTGAGGTCATAATCCAGTAGGATCGGGGGCCTGACAAGGGCCACCTGCACACACCAAGGAAAACCTAATTGAGCAAGACAAGCAAGAGGGTGCCCACCATGCTAGCAACCTGATTGTTGGCTTCTGGACCTCAGATCTGTGGGGGGCTGAGGGGTGATGGGACAGGGAGAGAGCAAGGAGTGGGCTCTCTTGTCCTTCATAACTGAGGGGCTGCGAGGTGAGGGCTGCACTGGGTGCGGGGACCAAGGCTCCTTTGAGGCTTGGCTGTCCTGCTGACAAGCCCCTACTTCTTTCCTGCTGTCTAGCCCACACTTCTGATGCTCCCTGGAGAGGAGGGCACAGGCCCTGACCACACACTGGCACTAGAAGGAGACTGGGGCACATCCCAGCTGAGCCCTTCATTTCACACACAGGGAAGCTGAGGCCCAGAGAGGTGAGGGGACTTGCTCAGTCCTTCCAACTGAGTACATGGCGCAGGAGTCCCCAGGGCCCCAGCCCCCACTGCCATCCTATGTGACTTTCCCCAACAGGCATTCTACCTGAGCTAAAGCTGCTGCCTGCCTCTCACGGGCCCTCTGAGGAGAAGATGGCCACATCACAGGATTAAACACTACCACAAAAACCCGAGGGAGGGACAGGAAGGCAAGAATTCTTTTTTTTTCTTTTTTGAGATGGAATCTCACTCTGTTGCCCAGGCTGGAGTACAATGGTGAAATCTCGGCTCACTGCAACCCCTGCCTCCAGGGTTCAAGTATTTCTCCTGTCTCAGCCTCCTGAGTAGCTGGGACTACAGGCATGAGCCACCATGTTCAGCTACTTTTTTTTTAGTAGAGACAGGGTTTCACCATGTTGGCCAGGCTGGTCTCCAACTCCTGAACTCAGGTGATCTGCCTGCCTCAGCCTCCCAAAGTGCTGGGATGACAAGTGTGAGTCACCGTGCTCAGCCCAAGAATTCTCTTCTGCCAATGGTGTAGGCCTCTCGACCTCACTAACCTACACTAGCCCAGAGGTGAGGGTGACAATTTAAAATAATACAAAGTCTCAACTATTTAAGAATCTGGTCATCCAGGGAGGGCTTCTGGAATTGCTCAAATGAACAGATAAGAATCCTGAGGCAGGTACTGACTGTGGTAGGTGAAACACCACCTCTATGCTAGTTTTATTTATAGCACAGCAAAATTCCACTTCGATGCCTCACAACTACTCAAAACAGGGTTTTTGAGGCAGCATATCCCTAGCCACTCCCGGGAACAGAGTTCTATGAAATGCTCAGTGTTTCATTTAAAAAAAAAAAAGCTACAATATTTTTTTCTTCTAAGATTTATTTTATAAACATTTAAGAAAAGTTCCTGATATTTATTGTGGGCCTGGTTATGCAGTAACAATCCGCCTTATTCCAAGTGTGCAATTCTTGGTATCAAAAGCATTCTCTTCTCTTAGTTCATAAAAGAAAAAATTGGTTTAACTTCTAATTTACTTCCTGTTATTATAAGGTTTAAAAGCAATTACTGTACTTACCTATCAAACTTACTTGTGTAGCAACTAATTAACCTGGGAAGCCACGATTTGCTGTAGGCTTCACAGCAAGTTTTGACTTGAATCTAAAGTGCGTGTTAGCATCTCACTGTAACTAAATGCTTCAAGTGAGAAGTTTGAGGAATGCTGCTTTCGGCAAAAGAGCCACTGCGGGAGTGAGTTCTGCTCTGTTCACCTGCTCTAGACTACTGTCATGTTCCTCAGCAAGAGAACCACAGGCTAAAACCTGGCTCCACAGTCCTTCTTCGGGGCCCATCACCCACCTGCCAGCTTCCTCTGCTTCTATCGTGGGACAGAGGAATGCTTTTCTAAAAGATATTCTGGCCTATCTGCATGATTCCCTGGTCAATGTTGAAGCTGAGTAAGCTTCAGCTCTGACATGGTCAGATCATCAAAATCTGAAGTTTACTCAGGTCTATTTAATGAAATTTTTTTTCTTATGCAAGCATATGTACCTCTGAATAATCTTCCCTTTTTCGAATCTGGGGGTTTCACCTAGATTTAGACTAGCCTGCAGACAATGATGCCAGAGCTGGGCTGGGTTACCACAATTCATTCATTTACCAAACACTTTCGAAGCAGTACTTCCTCTGGGCTGGCCTGATGCAAGGATACAGAGATAACACCACAAAGAAACCTGCTCATTAGGAGCTTGCTTACAGGCTAGAAAGGAACATAAAGCACGAGAATAAGGCACTGTACGTACATAGAAACATAACTAGCCCGTCAGAGGGCCCCAGAGCCTCAGAGGATGGAGCCGTTCCTGAGGCTGGAGGGTTTGCAAATTCATTCCATCTTTACAAGACCTGCTGGATGCGAGGCGTGGTGGTAGGCAGTGGGGAAACCCCGGTGAACAAGCAGACATGGTCCCTGTCCTCACGGAGCTAAAAGTCTAGCAAAACAAGAATTACAGTCCACTGTAGAGGTGTGCTGGGTTGTGGGGTACAGTGAGTTAACATTATACACACATTTCACTTAAACACAATGTTATCTGTCTGAAAAAGCTTTAGAAAAAGGAAAATAAGTTGTTTGGGCCATTCTGCTGACCCCCCTTTCCCTCCATGAGCAGAGACAGGAGTGGGGCCCAGGCAAGCTCATGCCTTTGCTGCTCCTGTGGCCTGCCCCAGTTCCCATGCTCCCCAAAAGTGACCTTCTCGCCTAAATGTGGTTCTAACACCAAAATAAGTGATTTTTGCACAACACGGCCCTAACTACAGGGCAAGCACTTTACCTGGTACTCAACCACAGAAACAGTGATCTGTTCCCATATGGGCAAAATGATCATTTGGGACCTTAAGATGTTGGCCTTCAACATGGCACTCTCCATTGATTTCTAAGAGGAATTTTAATTACACTCCATTTTTATCTTAGGCATTGACCTTGTAACTGAATCCCAGAGAGAACCAAGACTCTTTGTGGCAGTACCATGGGACACACAGAAGTAGCCTACACCCTGGCTCTGGAAGTTGGGGATTGCCTCCTAGAAGGGCCCCTAAGATCTTGAGGGTGAGGGGAATGGCAAGACTGAGGCGGGAGGGGAGAGGCCTGGGGGAGTATGTGGCTGGAGGTGGAAACAACACTATGCACAGTCTGTGGGGCTAGTGAGGTCAAGATGCACGCAGGGAACTAGTGAGCAGAGGGCAGGGGAGGAGGCACAGGCCAGAAACACTGCCAGAGGATAGGTCTTGACAGGCTGTATGAAGAGCGATTTCACAAGGGTGGAATTTACTTATGTATGTATTTTTGAGACAGGGTCTTGCTCTGTTGCCCAAGCTAGAGTACAGTGGCTTGATCACTGCAGCCTCGAATTCCTGGGCTCATGCGATCAGGAGTTTGGAGTTTATTCTCAGGGTAATGGTTAAGCTTTGAAAAGGTTTCAAGTAGAGGAATAACAGCGTCAGATTTATATTTAAGCAAGTTCATCCTGAAGTATGTGAAAAGATGCCCAACACCATTAGCCACTAGGGAAATCCGAATCAAAACCACAATGAGGGCCAGGCGTGGCGGCTCACGCCTGTAATCCCAGCACTTTGGAGGGTTGAGGCAGGAGGATCACTTGAGGCCAGGAGTGCGAGACCAGCCTGTTCAACATAACGAGGCCCTTCTGTACAAAACATATTTTAAAAAGAAAAAATAAAAAAACTACAATGAGATACCACCTCACGTCAGAAAATAATGAGTGTTAGTGAAGACGTGGAGAAACTAGAACCTTCTCTCATTGCTAATGGGAGTGGAAAGTGATACAGCTGTTGAAAAACTGCCTGGTGGTTCCTCAAAAGGTTAAAGATAGTCGCTGTATATCCCAGCAATTCCACTCCTAGGTATACATCCAAGAGTAGTGAATACACTCTTCGATGCAAAAATTTGTATGGGAATGTTCATAGCAACGTTAATCATTGTAGCCAAAAAGTAGAGCCAGGTGTGGTCGCTCATGCCTGTAATCCCAGCACTTTGGGAGGCTGAGGCAGGTGGATCACCTGAGGTCAGGAGTTCAAGACCAGCCTGACCAACATGGTGAAACCCTGTCTCTACTAAATATACAAAAAATTAGCTGGCGTGGTGACACATGCCTGTAATCCCAGCTACTCTGGAGGCTAAGGCAGGAGAATTGCTTGATCTCAGGAGGAGAGGTTGCAGTGAGCCAAGATCACGTCATTGCACTCCAGCCTGGGCAACAAGAGCAAAACTCTGTCTCAAAAAAAAAAAAAAAAAAAAACAAACATACATATATATAGCCCAAAAGTAGAAACAACTCAAATGCCCATTAACCGATGAATGGATAAAAACAAATGTGGTATGCCCATAAAATGAACTATTATTCGGCAACTTTAAAAAACAAAATAGGGATATATGCTATGACATGAATGAACCTCAAAAATACGTTAAGGAGCCAGTCACAAATAGACACATGGTGGATTCCGTTTATATGAACTGTCCGGAACAGCAGATCCACAGAGAGAAAGAGCAGCGGCGGCCAGAGGCTAACGGGGAGGGATGGGAGTGCTGCTAATGCGCTCAGGGTTCCTTTGGGTGAGAAAAATGTTTTCAAGTTGATTACAGTGCTGGGCCACAAGTCTGTAAATATACTCAAAGTCACTAAAGTGTACACTGCAAATGACTGAACTGAATGCAAATTACCTCTAAATTAAGCTGGTAACAACAAGGGTTTGTCCTGGCTGCAGCGTGCAGAATGGAGGCAGGGCAGAGAGCAGTGAAGGGCTGCTACACGGATGGAGCTGGAAAGGACAGTGGCTGAACTGTGGGGAGGGAGTCACAGGACCAGACTACGAGGGGCCGGAGGAGAAGACTACATCCTGTCGTGGGTGCCACAAGTTCTCCTGGGCACCTGGCAACTCTCCAAAGAGGAGAGTGGGAACAAATGAGGTACTCCAATGATCATAAAGCAGCAAAAATGTACTCAAAATCTCCTACATGGAAGACTAAGAGGAACTCAAAAAGTGTGTCGCCTGCATGTGTGGGGAGTGCCCAGGATAAAAGCACACCAAGTTGCCTGCCAGGGGGCTGTGCTGACTGTCCATTCTCCCTCCTAAACACCAAAAGAAAGGACTCGTCATTCAGGTCACACTCAAGATGTTGCAAGATCTGCATGAGGTCACCTGAGGTCAGGAGTTCAAGACCAGCCTGACCAACATGGTGATACCCTGTCTCTACTAAATATACAAAGAGGCTGAGAAGGCCAATCACTCCCAGAAGTTAAATCTTTAAAGCTGCCTTTCTGGGTTCTTTGCATGTATGTGAAAACTGTAAGGCTGCTGAAGTGTGCATTTTTCTTGATTAGAGCAAAGACCCAGTTTTGACTGCATACCACCTCCTTCCAGAACTCTTCGCTCATCTGCAGGAGGAGACTGATGAGTGTGGAAAGGCCATGGGACAAATGGACTTGGCCTGCTGGTGGAAAACCATAAGGCAAGTCTGTGAAGGACCACATTCCAAACCCTGCAGAGACTGGCAGCTGGGACCATGACTACAAGACATCTTTGCCCCATTAGAAGAAGCAAAGACTGTACTGGGATGGGAATAAGCCTGGCCACACCTCACACATGCCCTCCGACATCTCCTTGATGCTTTCTCCACCTTCAATAGAAATTAATGCCGGCCAGCCACTGCCGCCACAGCTAGGGAAGAGGAAAACACCCCTGAGACGCGCCAACAAAGCTGGGAGTTCTGGTACCAGCACACTCAACTGCTAAATGGCAAAACGGAGGCCCAGGTCCATGGAGCAGAGCCGGGGTTGGCATTTAGGGCTCTGCACTTCTCACTCTACCAACTCCTCAAACCCTGACCTTTCCTAAGAACCTGGCTCCACAGGGAAAGAAAAGGTGAGGAATATCAGACGCCTAAGTCTCAACTGGCAGAGAAACCAGAATCACCTCTTTCCTAGAAAAGAAACGGAAACTGTCATGGTTATATGCTGTCATCTCTCTAAAGGAAGGGGGAAAAGCAGGTTAACCAACAAAACATGGGATGATAGGGTTTTAGCTGCAGCTCTCAAATCTTACAGCCCTTTACTTCCTTTATTAACAACATTGTTCTGCATTCATTCGTGCCACAGTAATCAACTATCAGTGTGACTATCAGCTCAGCCAAGCAAGGGCTGACAGGATCCAGGCTGCACTGGGTGCAGAACAGCCCAGGCAGCTGAAGAGCTGAGATGTCGCAAAAACGACCAGGGCTTATCACCATCTCTACTTCCCATGGTCCAGCAAACCGAGGCCAAACACTGTTTCCTAAAACTGCAGAGAAATCCAAAATTAAACACTACCAAACAAAAAGCAGACAGGAAGACGAAATAATCTACCTCCTCCTCATGGAAAAATAATCTGAAAGGAGTTTAAAAATACACGAACTAAAATTTTTATAACTATTATCTGCCAATTTTGAAGACGTCTTCGGGTGCCACAACTGGGGGCGAGAAAGAATAAATATCAACGTATAACTTCTAGAGTGATAATAAATGATGGGACCCCATCTCGGATGGATGGATTTTTTTCCCTGCTATAGCCAAAAAGCAAGCTGAACTCTACGTACAACAGACAGACTATACAATTAGGGGCATTTAAAAATAATAAGACTCATCTCTGCCTTCTTGCAAAGAATAGAATATATATTTAACAGCACAAAAGAAGATACCACTTGAGCTTCCCCTTTAGCCAACAGGAAGAATTTCCACATATAAAAATTAAAAATTTAAACTTTTAAATCATTCATGTTTTAAACATAATACAGACTTAGAAATTGTTCAACATTAACCCATAATCCCACCCCTAGCACAAAAATCAACCCCAAATCCAGAAGTCACAGGTTTTTGTTCCTAAAAATCCCACAGCACTGAACTTGATCTTCACATCAGGCTGACAGCAAGTAAGAGGCTTGCAACATGAGCAATCCCGAGGGTAGAACAGAAGCACAATCAATGCTGCATCTATTATCTACCTGGCGGCACTGGTGTACCTCTGAGGTCAGGTCCATGAGATTCGCCCCCAGACTAGGGCCCCGGAAGGGTGAGCTGGCCGCTTCCCTCATCTTCCCCCTCGAAGGATGTCCAATAAGCACCTGGGAATTGACTTTTCTTGGGGAAAGGGTGCTGGTAACAGCTGTCAGGGCCAAGGCAATAGTGAGAAGTTCAGTTCTCTGCTCTTTGGATGAACTGTGTAAAACATTTATTTTAAAAGACACAATGTTAAAAAAAATTAAGAAAAATGTCTACAAAATCTGGAGGGCTGCCTTTTTCTCAAAGGGTAAAGCCTGTGGGGTGGTGGGAAAATAATCGAGGGCCCAGAACTACAACTCTGCAGCGAGATAGAGACGCCCTTGAAAACTTGTCACATTCTTAAGATGCCTTGCCAAGGTAGCAAAAGCTGAGGGTGACTGTGTGAGCAGGAGAGAGAGGGCGCCAGCTCCTGTGGGGGAGGTTGCTACTGCGCCCCACCCCATGCCCGAATGTCAGGCTTTAGGGCAGCTGCCACAGGCCCCGGGGGCATCAGGACTCTGCCTCTGAACCAGAGCTGCTTTCCCGACTAACTTCAATCTGGAGAGATGGTAAGTTATCTAACCGGCTCTTCTTTTGGCGAGACTGCTCTTTCTCCTTAATCAGAGCCCCCCACGCCCTTTGCAGCTCGGAGTTATCTTCCTCAGCACCAGGTGCCCTGTGATCTCCTTTCTTCGTACTCTTTTCTTTGGTCTTGGGTGCAGATCCTAAGCGAGTCCATAAATTACCTGTTTGGATGATATGACATTTCAGTTTTGCAGTCAGTGCTAAAAACCAGGGTAGTACCAAGGGGGCAGTGGCACTGTCAACCCCTGATGTGCAGGAAATGCCAGCAGTCTGTGGCGCCTGCCAGCACGGTGCAGCCTTGGGAAGGTCATCTCATTTCCCGGGGGCAGCCCCTGCCTGCAAACAGAGGGGTCTGGACCCCACAGAGGATTCTCACTGTGTGGGGACAGTCATGTACCTCCCTGTCACCAGACACATGGGATCACCTGAGAGGCTGTTTCCTCCTGCTCCTGCCCTTCCCTGCTGAGACACACCCCTGTGTGCCAATCCTTTCTGCCAGGAGTAGGCCGTTCCCAGATCCTTCCAGCTCCAACATTCTACAAATCAATGGGCCTAGTGCACTGCAACGTTTCAGAAATTCTGCCCACTATCCATTCATTTTTGAAATACATTTTATGAAAATTTCACAAGAGAAATATGTGTTTAGATTTTGTGAACAGCCACATTATAAGGCAATTAAAAGTGGTTTCTGTTTTTGTTTTTTGAGACAGGGTCTTGCTCTGTTGCCCAGGCTGAAGTGCAGTGGTGCACGCACCCACCACCACACCTGACTAACTTTTGTATTTTTAGTAGAGACGGGGTTTCACCACATTGGTCAGGCTGGTCTCAAACTCCTGACCTCAGGTGATCCACCCGCCTCGGCCTCCCAAAGTGCTGGGATTACGGGCATGAGCCACCGTGCCTGGCCTACAAATTTTATTTATAAGATGATAGAATATGGCAAACAACTATGATAAAATACTATATGAAAAAAGTAGGATTTGTATGTGGACAAAGATCGGAATAGCTCACATGAAACTAAAAAGGATCTGTGCCACACGGAAGGAACCATGAGCACGCTATTTTTTTCCATTTTCCAAGCATTCCTTACTGTTGGGATGCTGATGCTGATGCTGATGATGACCTTAAAGGAAAAGGAATCATCACTTATGTTTGTCATGTGCTGTTTCTTGCCTTCTGATAAGAAAGTATTTCTACAATACACCACTGTCCTCTGCTCTCACCGAACTCCCCATCCCATCAATGTTAAGTGTTACCAACCTGATTTCTTCTCCCGAGTATCGGCGTAGAGGCCTTTAATATCTTGCCTAGGAACACCTAGTCTACTATGAACATCAGAAGAGGGCTCTCTCCGAACCACTGCGTTACTACTAAAAGCCTTTTCTGGAGAATATGGTCTTTTTCCTAACCGCTGGCGTATATCTGAAAACAGAGAGAAAGTACAACAGTCACAGTGTACGTGCTTTACTCTCGGCACCATCTGCCTGAGACCTCTAAAGGATCTGGCACCAGCTCTCCCTAAGTGAGGACACAGGGCCTGACAAGCAGGCTGCTACGTATCTTTCCTTTGTCATCAGTCTGGATTTCCCTAGGAAAATTCGGACGTAGGTGCTGTCAGGGGGAACTAAATTTTTGAAGAAACAATCATTTTTATTGTTTTAGCAGATTCAAGCACACTAAATAATTTACAAAAGTTTCAGTTAACAAAAGAATCCTGCGAGCTCTCTGAGAGCAGAAGGGACAATCTTTGAACATATTAAGTAGCTCCCAATAAAGAGACTGGCAACCAGCGAAAGCAAAGGATAAAAATTTGTTTTTCACTCCATCCCCCCAGAAATCTGCCTGTCCTCTTGCGTTCCCCCTAACAACGACAGCAATGGCCGAAACAGCGTTGTCAGCGAGACCTTGTGCTGAGGCCTCATCTCTAACTTCTCTCGGAGAGCAGCACCCCGGCCTCTGCTCGCTCAGGCCTGAGCCCCTTCCTTCAGCACTTCCTAGCCCTGAGTCTTCCTTCATAGGACTTCCTGTTCTTTATCCATTCTGTCTCCACTGACCTAGCTCAGGCTCCTGGTACTGATTTAACTCTCCACCCCACCCCACTCCACCCTCCAGTTATCTTTCTAACATAGATCTAAGACCAGGTTACTTCCCGTCTAAAAAAATCAGGTTTGCCAACAAAGATGCTGCCCTTCTGAGTCCGCGCTCTAAAGCTACTTTCTCTAAGAGCCTTTCACAGTCTCCTTAGTAGATTGGCAATGGCTGTGTGTCTCCTCCAAAGACTTCTCTCACTCCTAAGCACCCAGCCTTGGCTCTGACACACAGCAGGTTTGGCTAAACACCTCCCGAATGAGTGTTTGCATGTACAAATGATCTAGTGAAAACTCTTAACCGTTCAGACAACCACCCAACTTAATTTTCATTATTCTTGTATATAAAGTATGCCAATGTCATACAGAGTAAAATATGGTTGGCGCACCTCAGCCATGGGCTCCACATCTACAGATTCAACCAACTGCGGATTGAATATATTTGGGAAAAAAAAATAAGACATAAGAGTCCAGCAAAAAATATACAGGATAAGAATTTATACTGTATTAGGTATTATAAATAATCTAGAGATGACTTAAAATATATGAGAGGATGTGTGTAGGTTACACGCAGGTAATACGTCACTTTAAGGGACTTAAGCATCAGTGGATTCTGGTATCTGCAGATTCTGGTATCTGTAAGTGGGTGGGGAGTCCCAGAAACAAACCCCCAGAAATACCAAGGAATGACTGTAATTATCTGGAATAAAAATATTTAAAACTAGTTTTGCAAAAGTTTGATTACTTTTCATTTCCTGAAATTCCAACACCTAGCCCAAAATCTAGATATGATGAGCCAGGGCAGCGAAATCAGTTCCCAAATGGTGTATTTTACCCAAGAACTCAACTCTGCCCCAGTCTGCTTTCTGGAGCTCAGAATACAGCCCAGAAGCACAGCTACAATACCTGATTTAGTATTGCTGACTGGTGGCTGTGGACGCGAGTGCTGGCGTTTTTCATCTAATAGATCTCGGACATCTGCAAATTTCTCAGGTGGCGGTTTGTTACCAATTCGGTTTTTGATATTGCTTGAAGATACACTATCTGCCCTCATGGAGTTCCTTGAAAAAGCAGGTAGGACAGGGCACAGTTAACCAACTTCAGCTCTGAGACAAGGCCCAAACAACAATCTCATACTTTGGAGGAAACAATTTAAGAAATCCAATCTAATATGGCCAACATTCACTCACAAATCCATAAACTTACAATTATTTGCTTATGGAAACCATGAACTACCTGCTATAAAGAGCCTGGTCTGGGTGAGCAGGTTTTCAAATGTGGTTTCCACACGTGTAAGTCCTATCACAGAGCACGAGACTACCAGTCCCCCTCTCCTGGGATAGATGTTAAGTAGAGGCCTACAAAGAGACTGGGGCTTCGGCTCACCCATGCTGTGATTTGGCTGTAGTCAATACGCAGTGTAGTCTACAGTCTCTCTCTTTAAAGGGCAGACTTCTCTTTCAAAGAGATATGCTACCATACTAGGTAACAGCACGGTTCTGGTGGCATTCTCTACCAGAAAGTTCTCTGAAAACTAAATATAAGAGTGTGAACAAGGCCATACAAACAAATCAGCTTGAATGGTCTTTTCTCCTCCCTACGAACATACTGAGAACATGTGAGATAGAGCATCCCTAGACTTTAACCCTTGAATTGTGGATTCTGCCTGCACAGAATCTGCTCACCCCTAGTAGTCATCAAAGACGTGCACATTGAAATAACTAATTCGTTTTTGTTCATGAAACTAGCTAACATTAGAAAGAATGGTAATAGCTAAGGCTGGTGAGCATGTAGGTAATAGTGGTAATTGTGTGATTAAAACCCTTCTGGAAAACAATTTAGCAATACCACCTTTTTAAACATGTGTATTGTTTTATATAATAACTGGACTTTGAAGAATTTATCTAGTTAGTGCAACAGTAAGAAAACAGAAACCCAAAGTCCATCAAAAAGGAATTCTTTAAATAAACCATGATACTTTCAAACAATGGACTACATACAGTTGAAAAAATAACAATGTCTATAACAAGTGAAAATGCACAATGCAAAACTATAAATAGCATAACCTCATTTTTATAAAAAATATACTTTTATACAACTATAGCTATAGTTTTTCCATGTGCTATACACACATACACTCAGCTGAAAGGCTATTCACCCAATTGGGAACAGTGTTACTGTCAGGAAAGAATGGGAATACAGATGATTTTCACTTTCTATATTGTCTATAGCTTTTAGAACAAGAATTGCTGCTTGTATAGAGGAAACACTGGATGTGTTTATTAAACTCCTACAAGGGACTGAAATCAGAATAGATGAAAGATATTATAAAATTAGGAGGCATTAAGAAGAAGTCATATTAGTATTTAAAATCAAATGAAAAGCTGGCATTGATAAAACAAAGATTTTACCTAATGTTTTTCAACTGAGATTCCACTTCATCAGCATACATAGTCATTTTCATGCTCTTCTTTGGGGAAGGAGTGGAAATCATTTTCAGTTCCAGATCATAGTCCATTTCATCTGAGTCTGAGCTGCTGGCACTGGACCGTCTGGACGTGCTCCGCTCTTTGGACTGCTTGAGAGCTGGGAGCTCCTCGTGGTACTCTACCACCACTCTGTCATCTGCATCCATGTCCTGGTCTTCTTCCTCCTCCTCCTCCTCCTCCTCCTCCTCCTCTTCAATGGGTTCCTCAGGTACATTCACTAGTCCTGAGGAAATTTAATCAGAAAACATTAGGAAAAGCACTAAAATTAACAAGTATGATTTTCTACTCTACATCGGGGACCTTTTTAAAGACAGGGCACCCATCCCTGACATTTTATAAGAGCACGATCTGTAATAGTGCTGAATGGACATTACTCTGAAACTGTAACAGGAGCATGGCTAGATAAAGTATGATGCAGCAACATAATCAAATATCATAAAGTCATTTAAAATACACTGATCCATTATTCACAGTTTTTGTATTTGCAAATTTGCCAAATTTATTTGTAACTCCAAAATCAATACTTGCAATGCTTCAATGGTTGTTTGCTGGCACGCAAAGAATGGCAAAAAAACTCTTTGAGTCACCAGACACGCACACTCCCAGCTGAGGCCAAACAAAGCAACACTCTGCCTTCTTGTTTCATCTCAAGCTGTAAACAACTGTCTGTTTCAGTCTGCCGCTAGCCACAGTTTTCACACTTCTGCACTTGCTGCCAGTGATTTCACTGCTTAAAACTGCCCTGAGTGTCCTGCTCAAGTGCTGCCTGGTGTTCCTAGATGCAACCAGGCTGTGGTGGGCAGTGTGCAGCCTGAGTTTTAGGGCTACTGGCCGTGAATTCAACGTTAAATAAGGTGTCCTTAAACAGAAACACATAAAACAAGATACCATATTGATCCACTGGCAAAAATGTGACCAGAGGCTACACATGATTCGGTGTTTGCTAATTCAGTGTGCACAGTGACTTTATAGAACATAAGCCCCATGAATAATGAAAATCAATGGGAAAATACAATAAACAAAAGCAGCAGAATAGAAAGTATACATTCACAAGAGTTAGACTATGTATTATGAAAATAGACAAATGGGAAAAATGTAAAATGAAACCAGTCATCATACAGGGTACTAGAAATGGAATAATTTGCTTTTTAATTTTCTTAATCTGTATATAAAAACTGTATGATGAAAATATTTATAGTAAGTAAAACTGGAAAAGCATAACAGTGTAACAGAAAAATATGTGTATTATTATTGTTGTTGTTGTTGTTGTTATTTTGAGAAAAGGTCTTGCTCTGTGGCCCAAGTTGGCATACAGTAACACCATCTTGGCTCACTGTAGCCTCGACCTCCCAGGCTCAGGCAATCTCAGCCTCCCAAGTAGACCATGCCTGGTTTGGCTAATTCTTTATTTTTTTGTAAAGACAAGGTCTCACTATGTTGCCCAGGCTCATCTCAAACTCCTGGTTTCAAGTGATCCTCCTGCCTTGGCCTCCTAAAGTGCTGGGATTACAGGTGTGAGCCACTGTTCCCAGCCTATGTGTATTATTAATATGTAGATCTCAAATACACAATTTTGTACATACACATTAAATAAAATGTCTAGACTTCATCCCTTTCTGTCCCCATTACAATCAATGTGTGTGTATGTGATTCTGTATGCTGACTTGGCAAGTTCTATTATGCACGTAGAAGATTCCACAGATTAGGCTCAAAATAAGAACAATTCATTATAAAACATAATTAAATCTTTTACAAATAAGCACCAAAAAAGGAGAAAGAAACCCATTTTTCTGATATCTCCCTTTTCTGAGGCATTCACATGCACAAACCAACAAGCACAAAGCACTCAACACAGCAGCCTATTTTTATTACAGAAAAAGAACAACACAATCCGTTTATATGACAAAATAATTTTTAAAATTGTTTCCAGCCAGGCATGTTGACTCACGCCTGTAATCCCAGCACTTTCAGAGGCCAAGGAAGGCAGATCACAAGGCCGAGAAGGGCAGATCGATCGGCCTGGCCAACATGGTGGAACCCTATTTCTACTAAAAATACAAAAATTAGCTGGGCGTGGTGGTGCACGCCTGTAGTCTCAGCTATTCAGGAGGCTAAGGTGGGAGAATCACTTGAACCCAAGAGGCAGAGGTTGCAGTGAGCCAAGACCATGCCATTGCACTCCAGCCTGGGTGACAGAGCAAGACTCCGTCTAAAAATAAAATAAAATTGCTTTCATGCAGCTGTTGATATTAATAGTTGAAAAATTAGGATCCTAAAAAAAGGTTTGTTTTAATTTTCTCTGTGTCACATTTGGCCTTTTCGATTGAACAGCTTTTATAAAATCATTTGATCTCTTTGGGCAACTTAAAATTCACTGTGACTTGACTTACTTTCCTATATGTTGGCAGAGGGTGAGGGCAAGGAAGAGAGGATGATAAAGTTTGGAACCTTAAAAGATTGCATTAAGAATAAAAATATGATTTCAGCAGCCAAACATGTGTCTACCCAAGAGCTGAGCAGGCAACTACCAGAATGCCGATGTTTATACTACGTCAAGCCAACGTCATCCCCAATCAGGGCTCTCTTCTTGATCACGTCCCGCTGAATACGACGGGAATGATATTTTCGATTCCTGCAAGAACGCCAAAATAAGCACACAATCAAAAACTAATAGGAAAGACCCTGAAATCAACTAGCCCGTTTCTTTCTTTCCTTCCTTCCTTCTTTCCTTCCTTCCTTCCTTTCTTCCTTTCTTTCTTTTTCTTTCTTTCTTCAGTGATGGAGTCTCTCACCGTCTCCCAGGCTGAAGTGCAGTGGCTATCGCAGCTCTCTGCAACCTCTGCCTCCCGAGTTGCAGCAATTCTTCTGCCTCAGCCTCCTGAGTAGGTGGGTCTACAGGTGTGTGCCACCACCACACTGGCCCATTTTTGTATTTTGAGTAGAGACAGGGTTTCACCATGTTGGCCAGGCTGGTCTAGAACTTCTGATCTCAGGTGATCCATTCGCCTCGGCCTCCCAAAGTGCTGGGATTACAGGCGTGAGACACTGCATCTGGCCTCACTAATTCATTTCAACTACACAATGAAACAATATTAGGTACTAAAACAGATATTTTAAATGTAACTAAAACTCAGCATTTACCACATTTAAGAATCTTGAATCCTTCCCTCATCTTTCTTCCAGTCTACACGGGGTTTAGACATTTCAACACAGAATACTAACTGAAGGATTAAGAAAAACTTAAATACTTTTGCATTTTAAGGTTTTGGGCTCACCATGAATTGCTAAGAATTCCTTTCATGCCTCCGTAATTTGGATTCCCGTATTTCATGTAATATTGACTTCTTCTGGCTGCTCCAAGTTCCTTTTTGTCATCTAAAAATTAATTATAATAGTTACCTAGGCTTTCCTGTGAGTGTGAAGGCAATGTTGAATGTTTTCTGTTGTTTTTTTTTTCCCCTTAATGATTTCCATAGCTGGAATCAGATCAGCTCAATTTGCAAACAAACAGGAAAAATCCACTACCAAATTCATACTCTGAGTGCCCACTATGACAGTGAGTGTAGAAGGGATAAAGCCAAATACAGAGACGAACAAGGTTACAACTGCTGTTTTGGAGCCAAATGACTTAACGGGGAAATAAAAAATAAACAATACAAGACACAAGGTTCCAAGAGGCATAAAGAGCTTTAGGTCATTGCAGGTATTCAGGAATCAAAAAGGCTTTCTCAAAACGGCATTTTTGCCACCCCATGAAAGATGATATTCACTTCTGAATAACACGTCAACAACACAGAATCAGGATGAAAGAAACAGAGTGTTTATCATTCCATATATTTGGTAAATCATTTTTTCCAGCTTACCGTGTTTCTCAAAATGGCTTAAAGAAAACGGCATAGTACTATACATCTAGAATGTACTCAACAACTCAAATGAGTACATGTGGCAAAGAGCACATTTGTCAAGTTAAAACGTCAGTTAATAGGAAAGAAAGGCGGTCAGTGATGATAAATTTTTGTCCAAAGCAGTAATACAAAGGCCTTCCATGGTCCTTGGACACTCTGACAGTAAATAACAAACACCACTGTAAATATACTCAGTGCTCTAGTAAATGTGACAACACAAACTGTAATGCACAGCCCCCAACCCTGAACCCCTCAAACCATGCCCACCAGCTCCTTGGAGAAATGGCTGATTCCAGATGTGGAGCAGGTAAGATCCAAAATGAGTCTGGAAAAGCAAGATGCTTTGTTGTGCCATAAAGTAAGAAAGTGCTTAAAGAATCATGGAGGGGCCGGGCGTAGTGGCTCAAGCCTGTAATCCCAGCACTTTGGGAGGCCGAGCCAGGTGGATCACGAGGTCAAGAGATCGAGACCATCCTGGTCGACATGGTGAAACCCCGTCTCTACTAACAATACAAAAAAAAAAAAAAAAAAAGAATCATGGAGTACATCAAAACAGCTTGAAGGGGCTCTACTGGCCAAATACAAGACAACTTGTAAATTAAAATACTCATATTAATGGATGATGACCCACTGAATAAAGAATCCATGATTCTAAATTGATGTAAATAAACAAACAGGTAAAAACAGAAAGCTCCTCCTTACAGCACCTGTCTACTAGTAAGAAACGATGTAGTCAGAAAGACATCAACATGTATTAAAAGCAGGAAATGCTGAGAGCAACAGGCTATTTACAGGAGCTCAAAGAATCTGCCCACCAAGTTTTTATTTTATTCATTTCTTTAATTTTTAAAAATAGGTATGAGGTCTTGCTATGTTGCCTAGGCTGGTCTTGAACCTCTGGACTCAAGTGATCCTCCTGCTTTAGCCTCCCAAAGTGTTGCGATTATAGGCATGAGCCACTGCAACCACCAGCCCATCAATTTTTAAGACACAAATGGGAAAACAGTAACTTTACAGTGGAAAAATCTAGTGATTACTGCCTTCACCAAGTGAATAAAGTGAACATCCCTAGGAATGGGACAAGTAAGTGTCCCAGGGCTCCTGACATGAGGCACTGGAAATTACATGACATCACTTCCATGGCACGCCTACCTCACATGCACAACCCTAATTCAACCAGCAGGAATCATCAGACACACCGAAACCGGGGACATCCTATAAAACAGTAAGCCTATACTCTTGGAAAACATGGGAGGACAGAAGTAGCTCCAGATTAAGGGAAGCTAAGGAAACGTGACATCCTTAAAAACACTCAGTCCTGGATTGGATCCTAGACCTGGGGGCTGGGTGGGGAATACAGAAGCGCCATTATTGGAACAGCTGACAACACTTGAATATGGACGAAGGATTAGGTAACAGTACTCTATTAATGTCAGATGCATTGATTTTGATGAGTGTGCTATCAGTGAAAGACAATGTTCTTGTTCTCTGGAATACGTATTCAAGTATTTAGGGGTGACGGGTTTTATCTTCAAATAACTCTCAAAAAACAGGATTTGTATATGTGTATACACATATACACACATACACACACATTTTTAAATGCCCGCCAAAAGTCACTGTGTGCAAAAGTCTTATGAGACGGGAATTAGAGCTTACTGGTATACTGGCAATGTTCAGGAGGATCCTGCTGCAATAGATTAAAACGTTTCACTTTAAAGTTTTCATAATTCAGATGTAACTGGCTGAAAACACATGGGGCAAACCAGTTTTAATAGAAAATCACTTTCTTTAGCTAGAAGTCACAGAAGTATACAAATATATTCACTTTAAAAGTCAGAAATTCCAGCTCAGGCAGTGAGCACTTATTTCATAAGCAAGAATACTATAGTTTGAAGGGAACTTTGAGACTACTTGATCTAAGTTCTATTAAAAAAAAAAGGATGTCACTCCACAATAAATCATTTTGATTGAAAATACAAAACAATACCAAATAAAAAATTTACCTTTTGTAGCAAATCTCATGAATAACCTATTTCCTTTAGCAAGTTTGTTAGCTGGACGAAGATCATTTCTTAACAAAGACTCCTCTTCTACCTGAGACAACGTGTCCAACTTAAGAAAGAAGAGTATTTTTAATATAAAAATTAAAGTCCTTTTCATATTTCTTCGGTAGTCAAGTTACCATTAAGAAAGGCATTCTACCTTTAATGCGTACAAGGGTTATAGCACCAGTTCCTCTGTAGAATTTCTAACTCAGAGGTTTCCCGCCCACCTTGTCTAAAGGAACAGTCTCAGCCATTCTCTATTCCCTACTCTTTCCTGTTTTCACAGCACCTGTCACCACCTGACACAGTATTAGGATCTGTGCATCGGTGTATCACCTGTATTCCCACTAGAATGCAGGCTCCAAGAAGACCAGGACTTTGTTTTGCTTGAAGCTATATCCCTGGCACTTAGAATATGGCGTATAGTAGGTACTCAGTAAATATTTTTTAAATGAATACATGTGGCTGGGCACGGTGGCTCATGCCTGTAATCCCAGCACTTTGGGAGGCCGAGATGGGTGGATCACGAGGTCAAGAGATCGAGACCATCCTGGTCAAACAAGGTGAAACCCCGTCTCTACTAAAAATACAAAAATTAGCTGGGCATGGTGGCGTGCCTGTAATCCCAGCTACTCGGGAGGCTGAGGCAGGAGAATTGCTTGAACCCAGGAGGCGGAGGTTGCAGTGAGCCGAGATCACGCCATTGCACTCCAGCCTGGGTAACAAGAGCGAAACTCCATCTCAAAAAAAAAATTAAAAATGAATACATGCTAATATTTCTAACAGCAGTACATAATCCATTAGGAAATATGTCATTACTTGCTGTTTCTTAATTTTACTGATTAGATAACACTTCAAAGTATTTCTCAATAAAACTATTTTCTTTTTTGTAGAAGGATGAGCACTATTCTGGGGTTTCAAGGTGAATTGTTACATCCACATGACCTTAAAGGACAAGAGCTTTGTGCATCCTCAGAAGGTCTCACGGTGAAAGCTAGAGGAAAAACACAACCAAGTCTTTAAGACTTAAATTAAAAAGACAGTAAGCATTTTTTACAAGAGAGCCTGACATCTACCTTCGCCCTATTACTAACCTCTACGTCACTTGTGTTCTCGTCTTCAACCTCTCCTTCTTCAGCTTCATCATCCTCTGAACTGTCTTCCTGCTTGTCTAACATGGAATGTGAAGGACAAGACGAAACAAGGTAAAAGTTTCATATAATGAGATACAGGATGAACTATTTCATATAATTTTAAAAGTCCAGTATTTTCCCCTTTGCTGATGATCTAAAGCATCATAGCTTACTTCAGAACCACCTGATGAGACACTACAGCACTCTGCTGAGACACGCACAGCGCACAGCAGAACTGAGTGAAGAAGAGGACTTTCAAACCCAAGTTCCTTCTTTTGTTCATCACTTAACTTTTTTATTTTTCTCAGATGACTTGTCCTCACTGGCATCCCTGCTTCTTATCTTATCCTGTGCAAGCAGAGAGCTCATATTGATAAGGGCTCGTGTAGCTGTCATTTCATCCAGCCAAACTACATTACCTTAAATAAAATATAAAATAAGACGCTACATGGCACACAAATAGTAAGTTTCCTCAGAGCAGATTCTGCACTGCATTCATCACTATGGCCTCATCTAGCAATAGATTATCATCAGTAAATATACAAACCAACTAATGAAGAGAAATATAGGCCAGGGACAGTGACTGACGCCTGTGACCCAGTACTTTGGGAGGCCAGAGCAGGAGACTCGCTTGAAGTGAGATCATCCTGGGCAACACAGTGAGACCCTGCCTCTACCAAAAATACAAAAATTAGCTGGGCATGGTGGCATGAGCCTGTAGTCCCAGCTACTTGGGAGGCTGAGGTGGGAAGATGGATTGAGCCCAGGATATTGAGGCTATGACTCAATGCCACAGGATATTGAGGCCAAGTTCATACCATTGCACTCCAGCCTGGGGAACAGAGTGAGACTTCATCTCAGAAGAAATGAAAAGTTAAAAATAAATAAAAAAAAGAAAAAGAAAGAAAGGAAAAGAAAAGAAAAGAAAGACAGAGAAGAAAGAAAGAGAGAGAAAGAGGGAAGGAAGAAGAAAGGAAAGAAAAAGAGGGAAAGGGAAGGGGAAGGGGAGGGGAAGGGGAGGGGAAGGGGAGGGGAAAGGGAGGGGAAGGGAAGGAGAAGCGGAAGGGGAAGGAAGAAAGGGCGGATATGGTAGTAAAGCCTCTGACAAAATTAGCCTAGAGCTGCATTTCCAAACTGGGTTCTACAAAATAGCTTAAGTATTCCATGAAAAAGGGTTGTGTATGATAACACTATTGGAATAGAACACAGGTAGTTAAATACTTAATATGTATTAGCAGTTCTTGATGATGATCACAGCTGTCAGGTAAGCTTGGATTACCCTTTATACCACTGCCCCCTACAGGGAAGCCGTTTGTAGTTCCTTGCTGTCAGGACGTGCTAAATGATATCCCCCTTCATCACTCCCATTGTAAATTGTGGGTGATGAAGGTATCCACAGGATAAGTATAGCGGAGGCATAACAGCCAGTTGGCTTTGTAGCAACTAAATTAATGTGCCCCTTTAAGGAAGATAATTTAGCAAGAAAAGGGCTTTGAGAAGTCTTATAGAAAATAAACCTCTTTAACTCTGTTTAAAACAACATTTCTCAAAATTATGTGTCCCCGTATCTGAGTTTGGGAAATGAAGGTCTGAAGGCTCTCACTTCTGTTACTAATGTGCCATGTGGCCTTTAGCAAATAGTCTCCTTCCTCTGTTTCTCAGGTTCTGATATACAAGGTAGGTGAATCACGTAATTCTGAGGGTCCCAACAATTCTAATGTCCCTTAGCTACAGTTTTAGAAACTTAAATCAGGGTTAGTAAACTAGAATCCTCATGCAAAATCTAGCCCACCACCTGTTGTTTGTTTATATTTGCACCAGCTTTATTTGGTATAATTAATGTCCAATAAACTACACACATCTACCACCTGTTTTTTTTGTTTTGTTTTGTTTTGTTTGAGACGGAGTCTCACTTTGTTGCCCAGTTTGGAGTTCAGTGGTGCTTTCTCAGCTCACCACTTCCTCCACCTCCCGGGTTCAAGTGATCCTCCTGCCTCTGCCCCCCGAGTAGTTGGGATTACAGGTGTGTATCACCACACCCAGCTAATTTATATATTTTTAGTAAAGACAGGGTTTTGCCATGTTGGCCAGGCTGGTCTTGAACTCTTGACCTCAGGTGATCCACCCGCCTTGGCCTCCCAAAGTGCTGAGATTACAGGCATGAGCCACCATGCCTGGCCTACCACCTGTTTTTGTAAATAAAAATCTACTGGAAAACAGCCAGGCTCATAGTTGATGTATGACTGAAAGTTGCTTTCCTGCTACCACAGCAGAGCTGAGTAGATGTGACAGAGACCATCAAGCCTACAAAGCCTAAAATAACTGCATTCCAGTCCGTTATGGAAAAAGGTGTGCCAATTCCTGATTTGGATAGTGTAAGTTAAACAGAAAGAAAAAAGGAGAAAAATGTTTCTCTCAGTCATGTTTCTTCTTTCAATGAACACACTCCATCTTCCTAAGAGAGCAGCTAAGAAAACCAGGCTGCTATCTAGGGTGCTACTTAGTAGGTCAGCCAGCTGGCAGCAAGTAAAGCCGGACGAGAAGTGAATCAAGACAAGAAGCCAGCAAAGCAGTAAGCAGAGGTCAGGCCAGACTGACAGCAAGGAGGCGAGTTAGCAATGACAGTTAGCCCACAAGTTGGAAAGCTCGTAGGTTAGGGCAAGTAGGTGACATTCTAGAACCCGCAGTTCAAGGCAAGCAGAAATGAGAGGTCTGCTACAGTGTCAAGAGCATTCTGGTCTAGCTCTAGGTCAGAGACACAGGCAGAGTCAGCCCTCTGAAGAACTGTACAGAAGGTAGCAATGACAAAGTCCAAGGCCCTGAAAATGCAGCCCCAAGTCTGTGCAGTTGGATTCTCTCCTTTATTGGGAAAAGTGAGTGTTAAAGAGGCCTCAATCAAGTACGCCAGATTCAGATGCCAGTAACCCACCTCCTAGAGTCCTGGTCACCACCTAGGCTGACTTGGAATACTGATGGGGTGTGAGCTGGCAGACTGGTTAGGGCATGCCGGGTTTCGTTGCTGGACAATGTTTTCTCTGCTAGACTAAGAGCAGAAGCTATACATGAATGAGTGGTAGGGGCCATAATCATTCAGCATCTCTGATGGCAAGAAGGCTTGCAAAATCATCAACAGAAGCATATTGACAGAAAACTCGGGGGTACTTACAGGAGGTATCATCCAACCATTCGATGTGAGCTGGAGGATATTCTTTAAAATAGGAAAAGACATCTTGGGTGCTCATCTCATCTACTCCGCAAATATAGATTGTCTCCAGTCTCACTTTGGGGATTGCTGGAAAGACAAGATACAGAAAAGATGATAGACTTTTCCTACCCATAACTGCACATCCCATCAGTACTCCTGTCTAATAGTTCAGATAACACGAGTTTAGAAAGAAATATGCTGAGAGATACTACAATTATTTCAAAAGAGCATGAGACATAACAGTAAGGTAAACTACCTTAATTTTCATCCCTAAACAAGAGCATTAATACAATTCAGAACAGGCGTATCAGGCTCAGAAAGATTAAACAAAGGTGTTGATAAATACATGATACCTCTCCTCACATTAACCTGTAGCAATCAGAGCAATATCAAGCTCCATGGGAGTATCTGTTGAAGTTAACTAGCTAATTCTAAAATTCTTAAACGTATGTTAGAGAGAAACGTGCATTACTGAAGACAATTCTGAGAGAAGATGCTACCCGTGGATATGTCAAAGCATGGAACTAGAGTAATGAAATCCTACAAGTCAGTTTAAAAAAAGACAATCCAAAATAAAAATGGGCAAAGGACATCAGTCTGCGATTTACATACAAGGAAATACAAAAGGTCAATACACACGTGCAGAGATGGGCTGACTTCACTACCAATTATTAACATGCGCATTAAAACAAGAAGATGCCAGTTTTCACTGACCAGATTTTATATCTTATTTCCTCACGTCTCCAGTACTGGAATAGAGAGATTTCACATCTTATTAGTATCAAATGTTGGCAGGAAGTAGGGGAAGAGCTACTTCCCCTGCTGGTGGGAGTATGAATTGGCATCGTCATTCAAACTTTAAGTGTCTATTAAAAATGTGATTTTGCACATGCCATACAGATCTAGAATTTTATTCCTCAGTATTGGCCCTAAATAAACCCAGACATTTGGATTCACAAAGTAGCTCACACAAAGATACTCACTACAGCACTATTTCTAATAACCTAGTAGTTACCGGGGTAATAAATAATGTTTTATCCACATTATAAAATATGTGGTAAAAAAATGAGATAAATTATATACCACAGAAAGATTCTAAGATGCATTACTGAGTGAAAAAAACAAGTTGTAAAAAATTACATACAACATGATGACATTTTTAAAAAACGTACAAAACAAAACATTTACTAAGGGTGCATATTTACGTACACAAACACCTAGCAAAGGCCAGACCTGGAATGAGTCACACTGACGGTAGCTGTTACTTCTGAGGAGGTAGAAAGGTTCAAGACTATGGTCAAAATGGAAACTCAGCCTTATCAGGATTGTGTACTTTTTTTTTTTTTTTTTGAGATGGAGTGACACTCTCTCACCTAGGCTTGAGTGCAGTGACGTAATCTTGGCTCACTGCAACCTCTGCCTCCTGGGGTGACTACAGTTAATAATAACTTAATTATAAATTTTTAAATAACATAAAGAGTGTAATTGGATTGTTTGTAACTCAAAGGATAAACGCTTCAGGGGGCTAGGCACTCTGGAAGGCCGAGGGGGGCAGATAACTTGAAGTCAGGAGTTCGAGACCAGCCTGCCCAACACGAGGAAACCCCATCTCTACTAAAAATACAAAAAATTAGCCATTCATGGTGGTGTATGCCTATAGCCCCAGCTACTTGGGAGGCTGAGGCAGGAGAATCACTTGAACCCGGGAGGCGGAGGTTGCAGTGGGCCAAGATTATGCAACTGCACTCCAGCCTGGGAGACAGAGCAAGACTCCACATCTCAAAAAAAAAAAAAAAAAAAAAAAAGCTTGAGGGGATGGATACTCCATTCTCCACAATGTGCTTATTTCATGTCACATGCTGATATCAAAACATCTCATGTACCCCATAAACACATATACCTACTATGTACCCAAAAATATTTTTAAAGAATTTGTCCATATCTCCCAGACATGTTTATATATGCTATTAACAAAATTTTAAAAATATTTAGCCCATCTTTCTTCCGCAGATACATGCTACTACTTCTATTGAAACAAAAAACAATTTACAAATTAAAAAATGTGTTTAATAACTTTAAACACATAATAATTTTAAATCCCAAAGAGTTAAGAGATGTGTTTAACAGGAGCCCATGTAAGTGTGGCCAGACTAATGCAGATGAGTACTTTTCTGACATCCCAAATGAAAAATGATAAAGACACCATGAAGATATATGAATCCAGCTGGGCATGGTGGCTCATGCTTGTAATCCCAGCACTTAGGAGGCTGAGGTGGGAGGATGCTTGAGCTCAGGAGTTTGGAAGACCAGCCTGGGTAACACAGGGAGACCCCACTTCTACAAAAATTTTTTTAATTAGCTGGGCGTGGTGGTGTGCGGCTGTAATCCTAGGTATCAGGAGGCTGAGCTGGGAGGATCCCTTGAGCCCAGGAGGCTGAGGCTGCAGTGAGCCACTATCACATGACTGCACTCCAGCCTGAGCAACAGAGTAAGACCTTGTTTCAAAAGGAAAAAACCACCCTGCCCAGCTAATTTTTGTATTTTTGTAGAGATAGGGTTTCACCATCTTGCCCAGGCTGGTCTTGAACTCCTGACCTCCAGTGATCTGTCTTGGTCTCTCAAAGTGCTAGGATTGCAGGTATGTACCACTGTACCCGGCGCCTGCATTTTTTTCTTTTTTTTTTGTATCCTTACCTGCTTCTTTTGAACAGGATTATCCATTGCCCAAGTTTTGAATGTATATGACATTCTCTAAATTAAAATACACATGTGAGGCTGGGTGCAGTGGCTCATGCTCGTAATCCCAGCACCTTAGGAGGCCAAGGTAGGAGGACTTGAGCCCAAGAGTTTGAGACCAGCCTAGGCAACAAAGCAAGACCATCTCTATTTTTTAATAAGAGACATCCAAGACCAGAAATTTTGTTCCTTACATTCTTTCTCTTTTGCTTTTCAGGATTTCTTCACCTGTAGGTCTGGCTTTAACACTGTAATGTTAGAACAATGTTAGCATGCCCTTGAAAATTATTTCTGTCACTTTTTGGTCTTTGTTTCTAGGCTAGTCTCCTTTAAGATTAATTTTTTTGTCAGATCAACAAGTCTCAGACCTATTTACTTTTTTTCTCCCTCTTCCTCAGTTTGCTTCCTCTACCATCACTCAGGGCCCTCCTTGCTTTCTGCCACGTTCTGTGAAACCATCTCTTTACTTCCCATGGACTCTTTTTGTTCCAAAATCATGACTTTTAACTCCAAGAACCGAGAAGGCCCTTGGACTGAATAAATCTTTGTTTTTCATCCTGCATTTAGGCCTCTGTTCACTATTGCACTGCCGGTCACTAATAAGGATTTCCTGGGGTTCCCCAGAAAAGAGAAGGTAGCAAATTTTAGGTGAGCACAACTCGCCAAAGCACACGTGTGGGAGACAGATGAATTGCGACCTCGCCAAAGCACACGTGGGAGACAGATGAATTGCGACAAGAATGGCACAAATATGAACCACTGATGCCAGGCGATACAGTAACATGGAAATGCTGACCACAGACTGACGAGGAAAAAGGAAAAAAAAGCAGTGTGACTACCAAGGGAAAAACAGAAGTTCACGCCCAGAGAGATGAGAAGGAAAAACACAGAATGTTGACAAGGACTGCGTCTGGATGGTAGACTGCGGGCAACTTTTCTTCCTGTTGTCTCTTCCAAATGTGCTTTGGTGAGCACAACTGTTTGTAAAAGAGCTGATGAAGAAAAGATTATAGTCCAGCGTGAACAAGCTCATCAAACATGCTGACAGCGGCCGGGCTTGGTGGCTCATGCCTGTAATTCCAGCACTTTAGGAGGCCAAGGCGGGCAGATCACCTGAGGTCGGGAGTTCGAGACCAGCCTGACTAACATGGAAAAACCCCATCTCTACTAAAAATACAAAACTAGCCGGGCGTGGTGGCGAATGCCTGTAATCACAGCTACTTGGGAGGCTGAGGCAGAACAGCTTGAACCCAGGAGGGAGAGGTTGCAGTGAGCTGAGATCACACCACCGTACTCCAGCCTGGGCAACAAGATCAAAATTCCATCTCAAAAAGAAAGGAAAAAGAAAGAAAATGCTGACAGCTTTCTTTTTGTAAGTGTTTAGAGCAAAACCTGCATTGGGAAGATGATGGGAAAAAAAGGCAGAAAGGCTGAACTGTTGACCTATTTTGTTATTCTACTGACAACTGTCATTAAAGAACAGTGAAAACTCAAGTTCGGTAACAAGAGCGTAAGACTTCGTCTTAATAGAGTTAAATCTTCAGGTGTAGAATTATATCCCAATGTACTAACTCAAACACACAGCTGTGATTTCGGAATTAGGTAATAATCTCTAAAAAGTAGCATGGAAGGAGAAAAGTATCTTAAAACTATGAGAAAGACTAATCCTGTAGAAGCTTTCATAAAAAAAAGAAAGGAAAAATTCCCAAACTGAAGATTGAAAAGCTCACTGACAGCCTCTGAAATTTAAAAAAAAAAAAAAAAAAAAAAAAAGCTTATTAGACAGTATCTATGATCCCTTAAAAAACCAAGTGTTAGGCCAGGTGCCGTGGCTCAGGCCTGTAATCCCAGCACCTTGGGAAGCTAAGTGCGGAGGATCGCTTGAACCCAGAAGTTCAAGACCCCCCTTGGGCAACTAGTAAGACCTCATCTCTAAAGAACAAATAAATAAATAAGCAAATCTTTCCCATAGGGAATGACAACAGTTCAGTAAGAAACAAGCTCCAAGCCTTGGATGGAATTAAAAAAAAGAAGAAAGCCACACGAACCTCATTTCAACCTCATTTCTTTTTTGGTAGCATCACCAGGTCAAGACGTTCAGAGAACACAAAGATGGTGTTCTATTTCAAGTTCATTAAGGCATGTAATCCCGTTTCTCCTGACAGTAAAATGAAATGCGGGCCTTACGATAATAGATAATAGACTTATGATACCGGAATAACTGTCCACCAATCACCACCCACTGGAAGAAGAAACAGAAGCCACGCATGCCACAGTGGGGAGGAACAGCACGAAGTAGAGCTGGGAGCTGAGAGGCAGAGTTGTGATGAAAATGAACAGACTGAAAAAAGAGGTTTGAAATCAATCAACAAGATGTAATTTAATAGGAATACACCGAAAAGTAATTTTTTTAAAAGCCTCAAGTACAACATGTAAAGGACTGTTCTGATGGGCACACTTCCTGGGAAAAGAGCTAGGTGCTTCAGCTGCACATAGGATGAGTTCCACACCATGAAGTGGCTGAGGCAGAGACCATGGTAACAGCCCTGCTGTTCTCCCTGCGCATCTAACCACAACTGGAACCTGCATCTCGCCTCATGAAGAACATTCAAAAACTGGAAAGTGTTTAGAGAGGGGAGACCAGAAAGTCGCGTCACATGAAGAAAAGCTGAGCAAACAGGCAGTGGGCCTGTGTTTCCACCACCCAAAGGACCATGTACAAAAGGATTTCGGTGTTGTTTTAAGAGTCATGTAGTCACTAACAGACAGCAATTACTAGAAGGCAATGCTCAACACAAGTAAGCATCCAAAAATAAAGTTGTCTGCCTCACAGTTCCATGCCATCACTTAAGAAACATTCAGGCAGAGGCCAGAAGACCATGAAGAAGTTTGCCAAAAGGCCTGCAGCACTGGGCAGGTAACCTAGATGACCTCTTAGGTCTCTTCCAACCACAAGAGCTTCAATCTTGGGGATAAAGTGACTGAAGCTGTTTGACAGAGTCATTCAAATGCAGCAAGTCACTCTTGATGCAGAATAGTCTACTGTAGCACATCCCAGACTGAATGCTGGCAGAGCAGGTAGGAACACAGGCTTCAGTCAGATCAGCCTTCCAACCTCAGCTGTGCTACTGACAGAGCTGTGGGACTATGAGCAAGTTTCCCAACCTCTCAGCACCTTAAATTTTCTCATCAGTGAAATGGAAATAATAAACACCTTCTCCTCAAAGGCCCGTTGGCACAATAAGTTAATTACACAGCAGAATGACTGGCACATACTAAGCATTTGACAAATCTGATCTTTTATTACTATTGTTGGTATTAATAACAAATAACTTGAACTGAACACCTGGCATGGATGCAGGCGTCAACATGCTTATTCCAATTTCCCCACTCTCCCAAGAAGCTCAGTCACTGAAATCACTGCTGGGAAGGTGGAGAAAACCAAATGACGATGAAAACTGACATTAACTGGGCACCTGCTGCATGCCAAGCGTCACTCCACCAACTGTGACATTCTGTTAGTCTCCCAGCAGCCCTGTCATCTGCCTTTCCAAATAAGGAAACTGAGATTTTTAGAGGCTAAATATCTTTCCCAAGGGCACAGAGCTAGAAAGTTACAAGTTAAGATCTGAATCCAGGTAACTGGGCTTAGAGCTCGTGCTTATAACCACAAAACCAATGGTTCTCAATCCTGGCTGCACATAAAAATCACCTGGGAAGATATAAAAACAGTAACTATCATCCAGCTGCGGTGGCTCACACCTGTAATCCAGCACTTTGGGAGACCAAGTTGGGTGGATCACAAGGTCAGGAGTTCAAGACCAGCTTGGCCAACATGGTGAAACCCCATCTCTACTAAAACTACAAAATTAGCCGGGCACAGTGGAACGTGCCTATCATCCCAGCTACTCGAGAGGCCAAGACAGGAAAATCGCGTGAATCTGGGCAGCAGAGGCTGCAGTGCGCCAACATGGTGCCACTGCACTCCAGCCTGGGTGACAGAGCGAGACTCCGTCTCAGGGAAAAAAACCAATAGCTATCCCTGGGACCTATCCAACCCTAATGTAAACTGATCTGAGACAGCCGGCAGGAACACTATCCTAGGCCATGCTGACTCCTGGATGAAGAATAGATTGAAATAAGCGACCCCCAGCTGACATCCCAGGGCAGACCTTATCGCCTTTTTTAGGAATATCTTTAAAACCATCAGATTGGAGTTGTATTTTAAAAAAAGGGAAAAAAAATTTTTTTTAATTAAAAGTTAACCCCAAATGTGATCCTAAGTATCATATTTCCATTTTACAGACAAGGACACTAACAAGGCTCAAGAACTCACCCACAGTCACAAAGAACTGAGACTAGATTCCAGGAGGAGGTGAGAAACCACTTCAAGTGGGTGAGCAGAGATGCTTCATGGAGGAAGTGACACCTGACCAGAGACAAGGCATGCAACAAGGAAGGGCAAATGCACAGAGTGAAAGGCATGAACCATATCAGAGGCAAGCCACCTCAAGGAACGCTCTCAGGACCAGAAGACAACAGGTGTGATAATAAGTGTCTAGTCCAGGGAGGAGAAGAAAAACAAATGAACAGGTGTGATAAAACCAAGATTCCCTCAAGGTAGAGCTGTGAGAGAGGACCCTGACGGTGCAGGCACCTGATACCAAGCCACATGCTGTCCCCGGCCTGCACAGGACTTCCTCAGACAGAAACCCCCGCCCACGAGGGAAGCAAGGTCATGTTTCTGACTTGAACGAGTCATGCAGGTTAAAGAGTGAGGCAGCTCTAGAGTTCAGCTCTGCTCCACACTACTGTGCCATTAGGACTCACTAAGAAGGGACACCATTTCAGTCACTAGCACCATATCCTACACCACACAGCAACAGAGAAAAGGAGTTAAGAGCGAGGCTGGAGAGTCCAATAAACCAGGTTTGAATCCTGACTCCACCTTTTCTAACTACATAACCCTGGGCAATGTATTAAACTACTTTGAGCCTGCTTCCTCCTTTGTAAAATAGGGATCAAAATATATTCCTCATAGAGTTGTTGTGAGCAACAAAAAAGACATATGTAATGTGCTTAACAGTGTCTGGTAAAAAAGCAAGGTCACAAAAACAGCAGCTATTCTTTCATTTATTCAGCATATTTACAGAGCTTTTGCTTTTATCAACCAAACAAGGCCAGAGAAGCTCACACAATACCACAGAGGCCTTTACCATGTGTTCAGAAAGCTGCCTACTAAGCCCTTTATGAACACCCAAATGTGCAAATACCACAGAGGGAAGCCTTTTGCATTCATGGATTTATATTAGAGCAGAATAATAAATAAGAACATAGACTCACTAAAAAAGTAGCAATTTTTCCTTTTATTTATAATCATTTTAGAAAACTGTAGCAGATTACTATATACGATAATTCAAGTTGAGTTCTCGGGAGCAAAATACACCCACAAAACACACAAGTGAAATAAAATCACAAGTGCAACTGGAAAGGCAGGCTTAAAACTCAGGGCAGGATTAGTTTAGCTTTCTCGGACGATAGGATTATCACCTGATTCAGATTTTTTTTTTTTTTTTTTGAGACAGTCTCACTCTTGTCCAGGCTGGAGTGCTGTGGTGCAATCTCAGCTCACTGCAACCTCCGCCTCCAGGGTTCAAGTGATTCTCACACCTCAGCCTCTCAAGTAGCTGGGATTACAGACGTGCGCCACCACACCCAGCTAATTTTTGTATTTTTCAGTAAACGGTATTTCACCAGGCTGGTCAGGTTGGTTTCAAACTCCTGACTACAAGTAATCCACCTGCCTCAGCCTCCCAAAGTGCTAGGATTATAGGCATGAGCCACCAAACCTGGCCAATAGATTCAGATTATCAATAAAAGTGTTCATGGTTTTTCCCCACCAATCTCAAAATTGCTCCAACCCCCTAAAAGAAGGTCTCACTGTGATACATACACTTTCACTACATTTAAAGGCAAAGAAGAGTTAACAGCTTTATGATAAAAGCAGAAAATGAGTAAGGGTCCTTAGAAGCACAGGTCTGAATCTCAGCTCCACCACTAACTGGTAACTTTTTCTGGGCCTCCTCAGAAAAGACAATCTCTTCTTTCCCAGCTCTAGTATTTGAGCCAGCTGACAGCATCTGAACCTTAAACAGGTGCCCTCAGAAATGGAGACTCACAGGTCCCTTCTGGCAGGAGTGTTTGGATAAGGAGTGGACACGCAAGGCAAGGCCAGAAGCATCAGACAATGGCAGGGAAAAGTCATTCTCTGGGGAAATGTGGAAAGATTTCACCCAAAACACCCTGTACCTTTCTTCATCATGTCTCGGTCCAAGGCTACATTTCTTTGGGCAAGGTTTACTTCTGATCGAAAATGGAAGCGCTTGGCTCGCTGTTCTTTCTTTTCAATTGCTTCCTAGAAAGAACAGAAAAAGTTAAAGTAGTAAAAGACAGCGAAGGCACGTTAAATTGCAAATGCATCACAATGCATCGGTGGCAAACCTGAAATACACAGGAAGAAATAAGCAGCTCTGCACCCTGAATAAGCTCTGAATTTGGTTGTGTTGCAGGAAGAGGGAAAAAGAATGTCTAGGCTAAAAGAGTGTACTGGTTTCCTATTGCTACTTTAACAAATTAATCCAAATATATTTGCTAACAGCAACAGAAATTTCTTATAGAAAACAAAAATCCAAAATTGGCGTCACTGGGTTAAAATCAAGATGTCAGTAGGGATGTGTCCCTTTAGAGGCTTGTGGGAGACTACATGTTATTATTAGCACATAAGCCAACATATCACACCCAGAATCTCAGGTTCATGCACTAATGTCAATAAATTCAACACAATTATTATATTGCTTGTAGTTGAAAATCCTTGGAATTCTCATGTATTTTACTCAGTTTTCTGCCAATACAAATTAGAAAATCTTGCTGTCTTTAGGTGTACAAGCCTTCTTCCAGGACTGCCTCTGCCCTTATCCCCCTTGAGTGTGCTAAGATCTGACTCTGCTTCAACATTTAAAAGTCAGGAGAAATAGGTGTAGATCTTGAGAAAAGTAAAAGCCTCCTCACAAAGCCATTGGCTCGGGTGGCCTTATTACAAGCAAGAGAAGACTAGTCTACTCTGTTATGGAAGAAAGGGCTGCATCTGCTGGTAAGAGAGCTTCAAAAAGATGTGGGGATTCAATGTTCTCGGCTTCACTCAGGTTTATCTAGATACTCAAAGTCTCAGGAACCCAATTGTTTCACAGAAGGTCTAGCTTTTATTTGTAAAATGTAATGAATCTATAAATCCAAGAGTTTTTTTTTTTGTAATTTTGCAAAGTATGGAATAAAATTTTGGATCTCATTTAAGTAATATTTGACCCACGGGTATAAGAAATACTTTATGAATTATTTTATAAACATTTTAGAATTTTGAAATGCAATGCCTAGTGAACTTGGCATTTCTTTTTGCAAGAACTCCAGTGCAAGCAGTCTTGTTTTTAAGGTCAAAGATATAGCTGCTGGCAGCTTCTCTGAAGGGGTACAATGAGACTGGTTCTGAGAGTGCTAAAATAAGCTGGAGGCTGGAGCAAACCTCTTCCCCTGGGTGGTGTTAAGAACAAGACACAGGAAAGAAGTGTTTTATTCTCCTCTGCCTCCAGTCTCCCCTTATTATTTCCTACTGGCAAAACCTAAGAAAACGCTGCTAAAAAAGATGTCTTGGAAATCTAGGAGGACAGCTGTTAGATCATAATATAAAATAGTGAGCTTGGAATAGAGAATAATTAGGCAAACATTTGGAAAAGAATATATCATAAAATTGTGTGTCCCACCAGGGCCTGTCAGTGGGGAGGAGGGGGCTAGGGAGGGATGGCAGGGGTTGGGAGACTGGGGAGAGAGAACATTAGAAGAAATACCTAATGTAGGTGATGCGGGGATGGATGCAGCAAACCACCATGGTATGTATATACCTACGTAGCACATCTGCACAATCTGCACATGTACCCCAGAACTTAAGGTATAATAAAAATAAATAAACAAACAAACAAATAAATAAGCTGTGTGTCCTTCATTCATAAGATTTAGTATCTAATGTCAGTAACCTACCTTGGTCTCTAGGTTCAGATAAGACAAGAACACTGACTGTCTTCGTTTACTTTATTTTTCTATTATCTAATACACTGCAAGGCTCAGAGTAAGTAATTCGGTAATACTTTTAGAACGAATAGAGGTACATTTAATAAAGGATTTTAAAACACCCTTAGGATTTCTACCAATAGCTTTCCACAAAGATACATTCCTGTAAAATTTCTTAATCTACTTTGTCCCATGTATCACATCAGAGTTGAGGGTAGCAAGAATCCAGTCTACCTCTAAGGCCCATGCACATGAGTCAACCTTAGTATCATCAAAACTGAATATTATGAAGGCGGTTGAATCAATCAGGAAACATGAACGGAGATTGACTGCTTTTTCCTTGAATATTCTCCTTAGACATGCATTATAGTATAGGGGAGAAAAAGAGTTGATGAGATAACCATCTATCTTACTCTCTTGTTAGGTAACTCCAACTTGTTTGAAGTTAGTTAAATAAAATTCACTTGATAGACACATCACAATCTGAATAAACTAATTATAAAAAGGAATAAGGCTTTGACAAAATGTAAATTCTTAGATATTCCTGCACCTCTCTAGACTTACATATTATTACTTATGTGTTCTCCAAGAGGCTTAAACTAGGAGTAGACCATCTCCATGGGATGGGGAATTCTTGTGAAGAGAAGCAAATGGGCTGAGAGAGTCAGAGAACAGAGGAGATGATCTGAAATGCAAAGATAATGAAGACAGAGAAAATGTCATTATTGAAATTTGTGTTAAGGAAATGAGTGTGGGAATAGGTATCAGATAGAAGAGCGAGGCAACAGACAATAGGAGACTGCAGAGTACAGTCATTTAAGTTTTAATTTCTAAGAGTCAACACAAGAATAAGCACGAAAAAGTTTCTAATTTGTAGGATAGAAATGTAAGCATTCAGTTTCCCTTACTAATAGGAGTATATGAACTTGTTTCTTCTTTTTGTGGCGCAACTAATAAGCCTGACTACTGCAAAATAAATTTGGATGTTCATTTTTCATGCACTGTCAGCGTATTTCTGAAGCAGTCTTACCACCTGATTACATCGTGCTTAGAATTTTTCAACCTAATGTGCTGAAAGGAATCTGTTCTCTCTTCCCTCTTGAGACTCTTCTTAGAGCTTGGGATCAGTGTAGCCTGGCGGCAGTTGTCTCAGCCCCTTGGCACACCTAGCTGGCTCAAGTTGGGTTTCTTGATGTAATTCTTATTTAAATTGTGGACAGCAGCATCTTTTGACTGCTGGCTTATTTCACCATGGCATTTCTTTTCTTCATCTCACACGGCTTTGGAAATCATCCAGGACTTTATAGTCAGTGTGTTTCTCAGCTCTGTGGGAAGGCAGAGAGGACCGAGAAATAATCAGTTTCCTTTTTCTCTCAATCCTTGATGGAACCAATGAGCCTCCATATTCGCCTTAGCAGTTAAAGCCAATGATGAGGGATCCGTCCTCAAGGGAAGAAACATCCAATAACATTCTCTGTAATGATAGAAATATATTTGTGTTGTCCTATTTGGCAGCCACTAGCCACATATGGCTGTTTAAATTTTCATTTAAGTTAGTTAAAATTAAATATTATTACAGATTACTCGTTACATTTCAAGTGCTCAATAGCTGCATTGGCTAGTGGCTCTCACAGGCAGTGTTGGGGATCCAGATTGTTGATATATTCTGTCCTCTCTGGGTATCTACAAAGTAATATTACCCTCAAGCAAAGTTCACCTTTCCTCTTAAAAATAGATAACTGGTGCCCTGCCCCTGGGAAAGGTCTGAGGACACATGACAACTTCAAGCTCTGCTCTGTCACGAGTTTGACTGTTTGTAATGCCTCTATCTCTGACTTTCTAGATATATCCACCACTCAAGACTACTCAGATATCATCTGCCTTGACAGTTTGGTCTGTACTGATCTGCTTCTAAACTATTACAGGGTTTAGCATTCAATTATTCTCTTTCTATTTTTTCATATTTAGGGATGGTATCATTAATTATATCATAGCAATCATTTCAAGTAGGATTTGGATGCCATCACTCTAAGAAACTTTCTTGGGATGGTCACCAAAGTCAGTGACCTTGACATTGCCAAATCCTGTGGTCATTTCCTTACTCTTACTCAAAATCCCAGCAAGATTCCACATTGATCATCCTACTTTTTAAAAAATCCATCATTTTGCTAGCTTTTGAAACACTATACTTATTCTTCTTATTCTATTCCTATATCCTTATCAGCTTTGTTCTCTATTTTTTCCTCTCTCTCTTTTTAATCTCTTTTCTCAATTGTAATCCAGAAGTGTCTTCTTTAATGATCTTTCCCTAAGTGACCTCCACAGTTCACCGTGCATTAAATAGTATCTATATGCCAATGACCTAATACTGATATTTCCAGCTTAAGCTTCTGCCAGAAAGTGCAGACTCAGACTCCTATATTTAAGGTTTCCTTGATGTATTCATTTAAATGTCAAATATGTATCTAAAAATTAACATATTTTAATGAAAATTCTTGATTCTTTCCCAAATACTATTTCTACCCATTCCAGAACAATATGTCTACCCATTCTGTTTTGTCACATCCCAGTAAATGGTTTCATCATCTTTCCAAAACCTTGGAGTTATTCTTGATGACTCACTTTACATAATTCCTCATAAGCAATGCATTGGTAAGTCCTCTTGGATCTCACTTCGAAACATTAATTTTGCGAATAAAGCCTCTTCTCTTCATTTTCACTCCTATCATCCTCATTTAAGACACAGCCATTTCTCCATTCCCTCCCCCCATCTCTTAACTGGACTAATTATTACCTAGGTGATATCTTTTCTCTTATTTTCTTTTATACCATTTCTTACCTGGACTATTAAAACAATTTCCTAAGTGCTTAGCTGTTCCATAGTTTATAACTTTCTCTTAAAAAATCCAACCCTCCGGAGTATAAAACCCTTCATAATCCAGTTCCCAGCTTCCTCTCCAACATCATCTCTTACCAGTTTCTCACTCTGTCATGCAACGTCTGCCACACTCAACTGCTTTCTGTTCCTTGGTCATATAGAACTCGTTGACGGCCAGGAGCCTTTAAACCAGTTGTTTTTCTTCCGGGCAACACTCAACAGACTCATTTTTGCCTGAATAATTCCTATTTCTTATTGAGGTCTCAGGAGATGTCATGGCCACCTATGACCACTCAGTGCAAAAAGTTCCTTGGTTTCTCTCAGTCACATCTTCCTGTTTTGAATGCCTCACAGTACTTATCATCCATTGCCTGAGATCATTTCATCATATGTTTGTTTAAAATCACCCCTCTCCCACAGGAAAGTATCTTCATAGAAGCTGGAATCTTGTCTTTGATACTGGCTCTATCCAGCAAAACTAAAATGGGGCCTGACACACAGTAGTGTCTTAGTCTGTTTGTACTGCTGTAACAGAATATCCAAGACTGTCCAATTTATAATAAAAGTTCTGGATGCTGAGAAGTCCATGTATTAGTCTGTTCTTGCATTGCTATAAAGAACTACCCAAGACTGCGTAATTTATAAAGAAAAGAGTTTCAATCGACTCACAATTCAGCATGGCTGGGAAGCCTCAGAAAACTTGCAATCAGGGCAAAAGGGGAATCTACACATTCTCCTTCACATGGTAGCAGGAAGGAGAAGAGTGAGAAACAAGCAAAGAAGGAAGCCTCTTATAAAACCATAAGATCCCATGAGATCTCTCTATCACAAGAATAACATGGGGAAACAGCTCCCATAATTCAACTATGTTTCATTGGGTCCCTCTCATGACATTTGGGGATTATGGGAACTACAATTCAAGATGAGATTTGGGTGGGAACACAGGCAAACCACATCAGAGACCTCAAGAAACTTGCAACTATGGCAGAAGTATGAAGGGGAAGCAAGCATGTCTCCACATAATGGGAAAAAAGAGGGCTAAAGGGGAAGTGCTACACATCTTTAAACAACCAGATCTCCTGAGAACTCATTCACTGTCACAAGAACAGCAAGGGCTAAATCTGCCACCATGATCCAGTCACCTCTCATCAGGACCCTTCTCCAACACTGAAAATCATAATTCTACATGAGATTTGGATGGGGACACAGATCCAAACCATATCAGTCTAAGGGAGACCTGTGGGGATTGCTCCTGTGTGAGGCCCCTAGGAAATGGGCCTTGCCATACAGTGAGCTTGAGCCCGGACACAGATCCCTGGTTGGGGGAGTCGAGCTGAGGGAAAGTAGGTACCAAGAGAGGAATTATATGTTATCCAAAATAATTAACAGACATTACTTTATGGATACGAGGACTTGGGAAGCATTGTGTCTACTTTTGGCTCCTTGTGGTTTATTGCTTGATTGTGTTCATTTTGTACCCGTGTTACCTTTATTGTAAAATATTAACTTAAATATTTACACTTGGTAACTTACTTACCGTAATTTACAGGGCGTAACTGTAACTTACTTACCATAGCTTACAGGGCGTAACTGTAATCTACTTACCTTGACCTATTGGGCGTAACCTAGTTACTGGAAGTAACCTACTTACTGGGCGTAGCCTACTTACTGGGTGTAACTTGCTTACTGTAACTTGAGTACGTTAATCTGGTGTAAACAACTTTAACTTCAGAAAAGTATATAATGAAACACATTGCAAAAATAAAATTGCTGCATGAGCATAGCGCATGTAGCCCTCCAGACTTCGCCTTTCCTATCTTTTTTTTTTTCCGGCGCGCGCTTTCTTCCAGGTTTGGGACCCTCTCGCTGGACGAGATTCCCGGGCTCGTGTTCAGTTCACAACATCAGTCCAAGATCAAGGGGCTTGTACAGTTCTGAATGCTGGAAAGTCCATGATCAAGGGGCCTAAATCGGTAAGAGCCTTCTTGCTGTTGCATCTCATGATGAAAAGAGGAAGGGCAAGAGAAGAAAAAAGGGAGCTAAATTTCCCTTTGATAACTGCACAGATTCCATTCATGAGGGTGTAGCCTCGTGGTTCAATTGCCTCTTAAGTGTTCCACTGCTTAATACTATTGCAATGGCAATTAAATTTTGACATGAATTTTGGAGAAGACAAACATTCAAACCATAGCAGTGGGTACTCAATATTTAATAAATGAATACATTCATGAATTTTGCAAGAAATTACAAGAAGCTTTCTGGACTGTTATATACTTGAATTTTTATTGTTTTTAATTTTTTTAAACATGATTTATGTACATTTATGGCTTTATACAATTATAGCAAAGATTGTTCTTGTGTCTGTAAGTACATCAACATCATCAGGCACTTCTCAGGGAGTATCGGAACAGGAACGTGGAATCTGCACTGTTACTAAACTCGGGTAGCGAAATGCAGGAGGCATGACTATGCCCTGATGGGACTCACATGGCCATTCCCGGCCATACTGCCAGGTTGTGCCCACCTCAGGGAGAGGCCAACTGTAATGCCAGGCTGGTCTGTTCACATAAACCACAATGCATTTTTTAAATGAATAATTACTCCTAAACCAAAACCACAAAAAAACACTTCTCTTTTAAAATTAGTTATAAATTAAGAAACTCGTAAGAGCTTGAACATAAGAATTTTGAGTTGGGGAGGGCTGGGGTATTGGAAGTATATATTCAGCAATTAACAAGTCCAAATTGTATATCGCTGGAGTGTCCTTATCCTCCTCTTTGAATTACTACTCACTGGGATACAACATTTGCTGGTTAATTTAGACTTTGTCAGTTTGTCAAAGCAGAACTTTCCAAGTACTACATCTATTACCTGAATATATTCCATACATCTATATTATGGAAACAATACATCTTTATATTTAAAATATCTGGAAAGCTCTATAATACAATATGCTTTTAATAACAGTACAAACCAGAGAAAATAAATCAAACAAGGCTGCATAAGTGATATCATTTGCACGTTTCACGACGCAATCATGTACAATAACTGATATATACTCATTACTGCAGAAAGTCAGTATTCTTACAGGAAAAAAGCTACCAGAGGCCACATAATGTTTGCTTTCCAGACAGACCAGATGCCTTTCCCTGGACTTCACTGTTCTCGGAGAGCTACCCACATGATTCATGTCAGGATTTCAACACAAAATGGCGGGTTGGGGGAGGTATAATTACACAGACTCGGAAGGAAGAAATATGTTCCTAATAGCTACTCTATGAAGTAGTAAGATTTTAACAGTGATTTTTAGCTGCAGTTGCCTCTTTAATGAACAAATGGGGGCTCTGAGGTTCCTTGTATAATGGTGCAATAATGGCATGGGAGGAAAAGTGGCAGTACATAGCAACAGAAATGAGAACACAAGTACTTTGGCACCAAGTTCACTTACATACCTGGGAGGCTGTGCTTAGAGGAACTCGGGTTTTGAAAACCAGCTATGTCTTGGAGTGCCCAACAATGAGGATGGTTAGAGTGGTGGTTGTTCAATGAATCTTCAAAACAATGAACATCACAGTGGAAAGCTTACCATACAGCTGGCCTACTATAGGAAATCTTATGAGGAACATTTGTGTTCTTGTTAAACACTAAGGAAATACCAAGTCAATGAAGATGCAATTAACATACAAGACAAAGCAAGTGTAATGTGGGCTATAGAAACAGAAATTAGATCCCTCTCAAGAATGCGAGAGGAACAGTACTGTGCACCTGTTCTCATCGTGATGACTTTGCGCTTTCCATCAGAAAATACTGATGGACTGAATAGGACACAAAGCCAATTAATTTGGTCTGTCAGTTATAGGTAATTGGAAAGTATTAAAACATAATGGTTAAGAATTATACTTTAGGTTGCTACAGGCTAAAGACGTTTTCAAAATCTTAAGCCAAGGCTTTTAACATAATCTCAATGTACAACTTACAGCTGGTTTTCAAATTAATCTCCCCAGTTTTTAAGTAAGTTCTATTCCGTTTGCTACCCATCTGAACTTATAAACACATTCTACAAACCACTCAAGTCCTGTTTTTAAATTGCCTCCTTCAACTTAAACTTCCACAGTGTGCTAAGTAATCTAATCTGCAGAGCAGAAGGGAGAATGGGATGAAGTGCGAATGTTGACACAATTCCCCAAGGCAAACTACAAAACCTACTTCTACCTGGACTGAAGAAAGAGCACAGAATCATGAGGGTAAACTTTTGCTGAAGCTCAACTCAGAATGGTGAAGTTGATCAAGATCCGTCGTTTGACAAAGGAGGGCTGCTTTAGATACAGATCTCCCTTCCTGACCTACAAACATTATGGGGCCTCCCAGGACTACCCAGGTCTCTTAGAGAAGACTCGATGCTATGCAGTGCACATAGTTCAGCAGAAGCAGATGAAATTTCTTTAAAATACAGACATAAAACATATTAAGTTATCCTAAATATGAAACGCAAAGTGTCCATAACTATACATCACTTTCCTGCCCAAACAGGGCCTGAAACATTGGGTATGCAAGTACTAATTAGTGATTTAAGATCAGTCAGAAACATCACCAAGTAGCATCCGAAGTGTACAAACCAGGTAAGCACGTATAAAACTGGTACTAATCCAGTTAGAAATACAAAATGAAAATTATGAATGCTGCCCCAAATACCTGTGGTTCCACAAATTTACAAGCCGACTATATAACAAAGTAGACTCTAGTTTTAAGAAAACATCATTACAGTTCAGTATCTATTCCAAAGATGTTCTGAAGTCCCAACAATAACATCAAAAATCATTTGTCTGGAAATTAGAACCCTTTATTGTTTGTACAAATTTGCAAATAACAAAATAAACAAAAATAAAAAAAAACCTGTACAAAGCTGGCATTTAATCTTTTTTTTCCCAAAAGTTTAACAAGTCCATGAATTTAGCAGATTGATAAGAGGCTACTTGGTTCTCATGTGAATTCTGTGGCAATGTGAACAGGTCCAAAGCTGTTCGGCGGAAGTGCAGAATGGAGATTCAGTTCTTTGTGATCCGTCAGTTCCACAGAAAACAGGTAGTACAAACAAAAATTTAACTTATCAAGACATGAGACCATCACAGTATTACAAAAAGAGTATAAACTTTCCTTAGACCAAATGGGTATTTTAAAAAACCAAAAACACACACAAATACAATCTGTATCTACTGCTTATATACAAAACTTGAAAGCACACCAGGATCTGAAAATCTTTTCTGCAATTATATGGTGTAGTGAGTTTGGCACTTCATTGTAATGAAATTTCCAATGGCACAGCCCTTATCTACAGCAGCACATAACCTGCACACATTGGGCAAACATCCTGTACAGGAAAAATGTCTTTGCTGCCAAGTCTGACGAAAGGAAAAAAGGAAGGTTATTTATTTATTTATTTATTTTAAAACCAAGAAAACTAAAAGGGAGTTGGTGAAGGACATCTTTGGACTGCTTCTCTCAGTTCCTGCTGTCAGACAATCTGAAGTTCTTTTAAGTGTAACCTGCTCACTAATTCTCAGCCTGACACCCAGCTATGTGTCGTCGTCTTGACACTGTGTGGGAAGCTTTGGTTGGACAACACATTGTCAAAGTTAAAATCCAATGTATCTCCATCCATGAGGTCATTCCCAATGATGGATTCCATATCACAGTCCAAGCACTCAATGAACATGCCATCCAAGTCACTTGGGAGCTTCTCCTGGTGGAGAAGGCCCATTCTGCCATAGCCATTGCAGCTGCTCACTGAGGAGTAGCCCCCCAGGGCACTCATCTGCATGGGGTGAGGCAGAGGCACTTGTACAGGTGTCTTCACTTGGGTCAGGCGGTTCATACCCGAAGTGTGGGGCATGGTGCTTACTGTGTGGGGCAGGGCATGCCCGTTACCTGCAGATGTCTGCTGAGTGTGTCCAGGGTGGGTATGGGAGCTGGGATTCATCATTTTGTTATGAGATGCCTGGCAGCCATAGATTGACATGACCGAATTAGGGCCCATCATGACGTTCTAGCCCAGAACCTGGCTGTTGGGCTGGGCTACGGCAGGATCAACTGGTGTCATAATGTCATTATGGGGAGGAGAATCAGAAGTCAGCAACTCCTTCAAGAGTCCAGGTGCACAGTTATACTGACTCATTCCTCCATAACTTGATTCACTGTTCTGAAGTGTTTGCATAGGCATCTGGGGCAAAGGGCTCATGCTGGATTGGCGGTATGTGTACTTTTGGTAGTTTGGGCTGGGCGAATTCAGACTGGTGTTTGGTGGTGCTAATGAGTAGCTTGGTGTCTGCTGCATCATAGTGCCAGGTGAGAACTGGGTCGAAATAGTTAATGATGTTGGTGATGAGAGAAGGTTGAGATTATCCAAAAGATTTTCCATGTTTTCGGGATTGCTTATCTCAGACAGACTGGGCAAAGGAGAGACCATCTTTGCAGCAGATGGCAGGTACACCATAGAATGCACATCCCCTTCTCCAAGATCATTCTGTTCGGTCATAATGGGTGAGAGTCTCCCACTAATAATACTAGCATTTGAGCTAGTTCGGGGGCGAAATGTACTCCAGTTATCAAAGTCATTGTTGCTGTGAGAGCCAGGGCTTGCAGGCCATTTGGAAAACTGTGATCCAGGGCTGTCCCCGGCACCCTCCTGGCCAGACTGGAGGGATGCTTTCTTCTTGGCAGCTCGGCTTCGGCTCTTAGCAGATTTGCTGTTGTTGTCCATGGATGCAGCTCTTCTCCTGGGAGATTTCCCGCTCTTGCCGCCCACTGGATTGAGCATCCACCAAGAACTTTTTCCAGTTCCTTCATTCTGCACACGAATGAACTTGGTGTGTAACGGACAGATTATGACGAATTGAATTCTTCCAGCCCGCGGAGCTGTTGCTGTCACCCTTATCCTTGAAGTAGGGCACGCTCTTGACCATCCACTCATAGATCTGCGACGCGTGAGCAGCTTCTCCGCCGAACTCTCGATGGCCTTGGTGATGAGGTCAGCGTAGGACAGGTTGCCCCACGCGTTGCGGCGGACGAGCTGCTCTTGCGCGGCTGTCCCGCTACCGGCCAGGTGGCGGCGGGGGGCACTGGTGGATGCTGCGGCAGCGACCCGGGCGGCGGGGGCTGCGGCGGCGCAGGGTGCAGGCTGCCCACCTCCGGGCCCTGGAAGTCCCCGCACAGTCCCCCCGCGGCGGCCACGGCAGCCGCCGCCACGGAGCCGGGCGCCTGCGGGAAGTCCTCGTTCTCCTCCAGCAGGCTCAGATTGCTCGTGAAGTCAGCGCTGACAGCGGCCGCCTAGGCGGAGGGCAGGCCCGCGGCGGCGTCGGGGTTGGCAGCCGCGCCGCCAGACGGCGTGGGGCTGCAGGTGGCCGAATTGGACTGGCTAAAGTCCGGCCGGGGCAGCGGCTCGAAGCCCGGGTCGATCTCCACCACCTGAGGCGCTTCGGCCATGGTGACCCCCGCCCCTCCCCCAGCCGCGAGAGCGCCAAGAGGGGAAGAGCGCAGCACTGGGGGCAGAGGGAGAGGGGGCGCGAAGAGACGGTCCGAGATTTGGGGGGACGAAGCCGGTGCGCCGAGTGGACGGAAACTGGGAGGAAGGCGCGGCGGAGTGCAAGCGCGAGCCCCGAACTTAACTTCGCGGGGCCATCCACATCCAGGCTCCTCGGGGTCTGCCTCGCTGACTGGACGGCGGGCCAGAGCCGTCGAGTCGGGGCAGAGCCTGCGCCGCGCTCCCGCTGACAGGGCCGCGGACGGAAGGACGGACAGACGCCGCGGGCCGCTTGCTTTTTTAAAAACAACCTATAGAAAAACAGTACTACCTTTATTTTATTCTTCTCTCTTTTCTTCATTAGTCTGGCTAGCAACCTATTTTTTGATCTTTTCAAAAAAAAAACAGCTCATGGATTCATTGATTTTTCTGAAGGATTTTTCCTGCCTCTTTCCTTCAGTTCTGCTCTGATCTTCATTATTTCTTGTCTTCTGCTAGCTTTTGAATTTGTTGCTCTTGCCTCTTTAGTTTTTTAAATTGTGATGTTAGGGTGTCAATTTTAGATCTTTCCTGCTTTTTCTTGTGGGCATTTAGTGCTACAAATTTCCTACACACTGCTTTAAATGTGTCCCAGGGATTCTGGTATGTTGTGTCTTTGTTCTCATTGATTTCAAAGAACATCTTTATTTCTGCCTTAATTTCATTATTAACCCAGTAGTCATTCAGGAGCAGGTTGCTCAGTTTCCATTAGTTGTGTTGTTTTGAGTGAGTTTCTTTCACGTCCTTTGCAGGGATATGGATGAAGCTGGAAACCATAATTCTCAGCAAACTAACACAAGAACAGAAAACCAAACACTGCATCTTCTCACTCATAAGTGGGAATTGAACAATGAGAACACATGGAACCAGGGAGTGGAACATCACACACCAGGGGCTGTCAAGGCGTGGGTGCTAGGGGAGGGATAGCATTAGGAGAAATACCTAACATAGATGACGGGTTGATGGGTGCAGCAAACCACCATGGCATGTGTATACCTATTTAACAAACCTGTACGTTCTGCATATGTACCTCAGAACTTAAAGTATGATAAAATAAAATCTAAAAAAAAAATTAAAAAAAAAGAAAAACAATAATACTAAGCACATTTTGAAGATGGAGTTCAGAGAAGTTAGTGATGTCCCCAGAGTCACAAATATTAATGGGAGGAAGCTGTCCATAGACTGTTTACATCTAGAGCAACACTTAGTGCAAAACATGACACATAGTATACACCAGCTAAATGTGCTGGATGGCTTAATTATATCATAGTAAAAAGCTAAGCTCATGCCTTCTTTACACATTACTCTAATTTGTAGCAGAGTTGTTTGTAGTTAGTAGTCTTATACATTTTATTAAAGAATTAATTAAGTGAATTAATAAATAAGGTACTTAATTTTCATTCATCTTTGATACTCAGTGATTCTGCACTATGCATAAAATGGGCATTTATTACTTATAATTGGTAAACTATGATGTATATCAATTATAACTACTCATTGCTTATGTAATTACTTGTAATTGGTTAACTATTAATAGTTGAAAAAAATTTTTAATAATTTCATGATACCTTTTGAGACATAGGAGTATCATGGTTACAGATTTGGTATTCACTGATTCAACGTTTCCAGAACAACAGCAATAATGCTTGGATATGAAGCAAAAATTAGATTAATTTGAGGGAGTTCTAGAAAGATGCTATAGTAACAACATAATTTTTGAATCTGTCTGAATAAAAAAGCTAACAGAAAAATTGGATAGAAAAACCAAAACTCATGAACAATGTTTACAACAAAACCAAGCGACAGATATCCCCATGAATCCCAAATGCAAGTGTGTGGAGCAGCCTCCCAGCAGCGACACAGCTGAACAGCATTAGCATCTGTGCTGGCAGAAGCAGAAAGAAGCAACAGGTGTCTGAAGGACCTGAGACTACCACTTAAAAATAGTCCATATTTATTTGCTTTAAAATGCTGTAGACAAATTTTACAACAAACAGCAGCTGAACCTCGGAATGATTTAGTCCGTTCTAGAAAGATAATCTGTAATGTTTGAAGGAGCTGTTCTAGATTGGATACCAGGAAAATTTTAAACTAAGCTACCAAAGCAACCCTTTCCAAATAGGCGTCCACACTTAGAAGAAACTGCCAAGAGGAGATTCGGCATTGAGCAGATTAGAAATAAGAAGAGAAGGTAAAAGAATTCCAAATAAATTGCAGGGCAACAAAACAGAGAACTTTCAGAAAGAAAGCCACAGTATCTTTGAACGCTGCATGAAAATTAGAGAGGAGGGAGCTCTGAAGGCTACATACTGATAGTCGCCTTCCTCTAAAAGTTGAAAGAAAGTATTTATCCTACATGTTCTCTATGAACCGTACCATCAAGTATACAAAAAGCATAAGAGAGACATTGTCACTTTATAAAAATAGTCTATAATACATACTTTTAAAAAATTAAAAAGAAATAAGGAATTAGAATATCACCATTTTTTTCAACCTCCAGTGAATTAATGAACCCAGGCACTGGGCACCAACATCTCCTGGTGTGAAAAGAGCAATAGCCAGGCATCATGTGCCTCATGGCAAAGGAACATCACACAACTTATAAAGATTGAATTAGTGTTCACTTAGAGGAAAGGGATTGGCTCATGATTGGGAGGAAGAGGTGTCTGGACTGGCCAGCAAAGTTCTCTTTCTTGAACTGGGTTGCAGTGAGTGTTTACCTAATAGTACCTCATTAAGTTATACATTTTATATTTTTTTGTGTATATATTTTATCTTCTAGAAAAAAATGATGTTACAAATAGAATAATCAATGTTTTCAATTTCACAGGTAAATTATTAGTTACTTGGGAACTACAGAAAGGTTTACAGAGATGTGATGTGGCATTTGGATTCTCAGGAATCTTGAACCATTAGGGAGAATCCTAGAGGCTTGGGTGGAGATATAGGCCACATGAAGAGCTCAAAGTACTGTTGTGTCCTAACTTACTAATTCCTCTGGGTCAAGAGGAGAGAGCTCTGTCTGACACTGTATGACACAGATTGTGGGTGAGCATGAAGTTAAGTAAAGCTCTGCTTGAAAAAGACACTGGGGGCTAATCACCGTGCCTTTCCAAACAAAAGTCAGCAGGTATTCAAAAGGCAGAAGGCTGCGGATGCCCAGAGAGAGGCTGAGTCAGTGTTTAATGCTCCTAATTAGTATGTCAAGATCTCCACTACACCCTGAGGTAAGCAATGCCCTGTGCCACACAAGCAAACCATGCCTTATAAAAATGTAAAAGCCAAATCCTCTGAACATGTGATTGTTTCTCTTCCTTAGGCATAAGCAAGTTACAGAAAAGACGAGTCTCTCGGACAGTATCAGTTACGTAATATTTTGGTGTTGGAGAGAGGGAAAAGTACAATGGTGAGTAAACTGGCCTTCTCAGAAGTATCTGCCTATTACTAATCGAGTAGAACAATCTTGCAAATAATCACTAGTCCAAAATCAGTAGTATTGATCAACCCCACAAAATGGTGCCACCATTTAGTAACTTGTTCTAAATTCATCTCTGTCACTCCAGGCTACTATCATCTGTCTTATAGTTTACTGGAAATAAGCTATAAAACAGTCACCTCCTGACTGGCATCCCTGCTCTTGGTATCGTTACTCCATTGAATCTATTCAATTCAATGTGGTGCAATCTTTTGTGTAAAACTTTTCAATGACTTTTAGTGACACTTAGGGGAAAAAAACTCAAACTCTACCCCACAGCCTAAAATGCTCTAACTGCGTTCCTGAACTAATTTACTATTTCTCTTGCCTTTTCCTCCTTCTTTTTGTTCTAGAATATGACAATTTCAGACTTACCTTACGCCTTCGCACTTCTTGTTTTCCCTACCTGGGATTATGCTTTTCCGGGATTTCGTGTGCCTGGCTCTTTCAAATCTCTCAGGTCCTAGTTCAAATATTACCACTTCAGAAAGCCTCACAAAATCCAATTAAACCCATTTATGCCAGAGGTTGCAATTTTTTGAATTGCAGACATGTGTGAAAAATCAGACCTTGGTAATGACCTTGAGCAGTAAGATATAAATAACTCCCAGATGCTTAGCATTCTAATAATGAAACATTAGGCATAAATGGAAAGAGTTCTTAGTTTTCTCATACACCATTGTTTTATTTTTATCATTATACTTTGAGTGTATGAAATGATCTAGTTTACTTTTGTTTATTTGTTTACCTGTTCTTTGTCTTGTCTGTTTCTACGTTCTGGGAGCTAAACTCCATGCAGACAAGGATGTTGCTTGTCTTGCTCTGCATTGCGCCTTCTCCACTAAAGCTCCATGCCTTTCATCACAGAAAATCCTTGAATATTTGCAAATAATAAATGAAATAGATTACTCTCTGATTTTGGAATTTCACAGACTGTTTTAGGGATGCCATTCATTCAACAAATTCATGTTTTAATCTGTATTATTATCTGTTCTATTTTTTATTTGCAACTTATTTTGTTGGAAAAATGACCTGCTATAATTTTTTTTAACACACCATTCTGTCTCAACCTCCCATGCATTTTTACATTGTCCCCAATCTCTGAGCCATGCCCTCCACTTGCTTCCTCAGTGACCAAGGTAACTTCTGCCCAGGTGCATATCTTAGTTCATTTTGTGTACTATAATGGAATGCCTGAGACTGGGAAATTTATAAAGAGCAGAAATTTATTTCTCACAGTTCTGGAGGCTGGGAAGTTCAAGGTTGAGGGCCAGCATCGGGCAGAGGCCTTCTTGTTGTATCATCCCATGGGAAAAGGTAGGAGAGTAAGAGAATACATACACAAGAGAGGGAAGGAGTCAAACTCATCCTTTAATCAGGAACCCACTCCTGCAACAACTAACATACTTCCAAGATAACAGCATTAATCCATTCATGAGGGCAGAACTCTTATGACCTAATTACTTTTTAAAGATTCCACTTCTTAATACTGCTGTACTGGGGATTACATTTCTAACATGTGACCTTTGAGGGACGTATTCAAACCACAACACACATGCTTTGTAATATTGATTGACCCTATCTTCCAGTTTATTATACCATCTTCTCTACTACTTTGGAAGTTTGTGCGTTCTTATACTCAGTTTTA